GAGCAAGATATTGTTGATTTAAACAAACACACATTATTTAATTAAATTCTGACTTTCTGACCTCTATCGCGATAACAAGCCAACAAATTTTGATGCGTTTATACTAAGTCAAGGGCAATAACTCAAAATCCATTGATCGAAAAATCGTCAAATTCAATCTTGACTAAGATCTCATCATTATAAATGATCATATCAAATTAAATCGTATGAAAACTGTACTCTCTATTGTGTTCACAAACAAATTTTGACGCGTCTTTCATAATTCAAGGGCAATAACTCAAAAACCATTCATCGAACTTGTCCAAGATCTCATCATTATAAATATTAACACCAAATTTCACCTAAGTTGGATGAAAACTGTAGTCTTTATTGTGTTCACAACCAAATATTGACGCGTTTTTTTTTTAAGTCAAGGGCAATAACTTAGAAACCGTTCATCGAAAGATAGCCAAATTCGAACTTGTCCAAGATCTCATCATAGTATATATTCACACCAAATTGTCTTACACCACAAAAATCAAAGAGTTTCTCTGTTATTGTATTACACTAGACAAATCATAGAGTTTCTCTGTTATTGTATTACACTAGACAAATCATAGAGTTTCTCTGTTATTGTATTACACTTGACAAGTAATAGAAATTCTCTGTTATTGTATAGCACTAGACAAATCATATAGTGTATCTGTTATTGTATTACACTAGACAAATCATAGAGTTTCTCTGTTATTGTATCACACTAGACAAATCATACAGTGTATCTGTTATTGTATAGCACTAGATAAATCATATAGTGTTTCTGTTATTGTATAGCACTAGACAAATCATAGAAATTCTCTGTTATTGTATAGCACTAGACAAATCATAGAGTTTCTCTTTTATTGTATAGCACTAGACAAATCATATAGTGTTTCAGTTATTGTATAGCACTAGACAAATCATAGAGTGTTTCTGTTATTGTATTAGACTAGACAAATCATAGAGTTTCTCTTTTATTGTATTACACTAGACAAATCATAGAGTGTTTCTGTTAATTGTATCACATTAGACAAGTTATACAGTGTATCTGTTATTGTATTACACTAGACAAATCATGGAGTGTTCTGTTATTGTACAGCACTAGACAAATCATATAGTGTTTCTGGCATTGTATTATACTAGACAAATCATAGAGTATTTCTGGTATTGTATCACACTAGACAAATCATACAGTGTATCTGTTATTGTATTACACTAGACAAATCATACAGTGTTTCTGGTATTGTATCACACTAGACAAATCATAGAGTGTATCTGTTATTGTATTACACTAGACAAATCATGGAGTGTTCTGTTATCTGTGCCGTAATGTAGGAAGCACATGAGCACAAAATTCGTACGTGTGCCAATTCATGTTGACGGCGATTTTTATGCCTGTACAATTCGCCGGCATAAAAAATGCCAATATATTCGATTGGTTATTTACGCCTGCGATTAAATTAGTTCGTCTGCCCGTGTCCGGCGTACATTTTGTCGGGTGATACTTCTTAAACCAATCTAAATTCAATGCTGATTTCATGTGACGTTCAGAGTGATATACGCTTGAATATTCGCTACCTGTGCCCCCCTCGTGGCATAAGGGGTGGTTATTTCAATTTTATTCGAAAACAGTATTTTTGGTTTTCAAACATTATTAAAGTCCTTGAGACGTTTTAGACTCACTTTAAAAGGATGGTTATAAACATTTATTGTTCACGTGCTTACAAAACACCGAAAGCTAGTTGGGCGTGTCGTCCTCTTATTATCAACGTTAGATACTCTTTCATAGCCAGCATGATAATATAATATTTATCAAGACGCTGAACACACTATTCAACATAATTACAATCTTTACTTTTCACGAAACCGCTTCAGTTCTAAGGATGCATGCGCGCATTCCCCCATATACCCCTACACTGTCCATATTTGGCAATCTTCGACAGTTTCCGTAAAGCTGAATCTGTTACAGAGCGATTTTCATGGTGGGCAGTTTGCACTGTCCACGAATCTCTCCTATTGAAATTTTTGTAGATGACATATTCCACTGCTAATTGTTTATTTTGTCAGCGTTTCAGCTTGTAAGTTGTATTTTGCACCTAAGACCGCGACAGATAGACATCATACCAGTTCTTCATCATATTTTATAGAGCTGGAAAACGAGACTTTCTACCCCAAATCCTGTCTCTGAGACTACAGTAGGTCTACGATTGGCCAAACGGATCTGTCCCTTTAAAATCCATCCCTTGCATACGTATATAACGGCATGGTAGGCCTATTTCAATAATGATAAATCATCTGGACTATTTTCGCGGGTAATGTCATGTGTAGGAACTTGCAGGAATGATAGGAAATGAATCATCTAGATCTGAAATTTGATCAGATTAAAATTTAAGACGATTGTGTTGCTTTAATTTGAATATTTTGTCAACAATAACAGGGTTTGATTTTGAATGTATACAGACCTATTTCCATTTCCCCATGTAATCTTTGTTTATCTATAACTAATGAACTAATTGAAGGTTAGTTTGGTCGAATTTTGAAACAAATCAGTCAGGACCAAATCAAAGTAGAAAATTCCGGATTTAGCCAACACGAGATAGGAAAGGTGCAGAGATCTGACCTGTTTTAGTGATATTTTGTTCAAAGATTTATTTTACCTTGATAGACCCAGCTGATAAAAAAATTGAGACAGAAAAAATAGCGAGACCTAAAGAAGGGGGTAGGCAACATTTAAAACTCTCCCCCATTTCTCTTGCCAATGAAATAAGGTGGAAGGCTGAAGGATGTGGTGCAAAACACCTGTCGTTTTACTCGTTTCAACAAATCCATTTTATTAAATTATTAGACCGATCACGAAATCATTATAATTCAACACTGCACATTTGTAGGGCCTACTTATACCGTACGTTAACCCTAAATCATGATTATTTATAATTTCAAAACGCATGTTAAATGCATGTAACGCTCCACTAGCCCTCTCTGCTCAAACAAAATTCATTATTCTGGAACAACATAGTTAAAAAAGTCGATCACGATTTTGTAGTAAGATATGAACATTAGGCCTACGCAATTATTGCTATACATTTACCAATATTACTTGTGAATATCACAAACGCGTACCTGCAATATAGGCTAGTCCTAGTCTCGTATGATCAAATTAAATAGAGCATGGATCATTGCTAGGTTACTGCACATAGTCACGTATCGATTGCCTGGATCTAAGCCAGTTTGGTCTTCTTGACATAATCCAGACAGCCCGAGAACACCCATCCATTTTTATATAATATTGCTCTAGTTGTGAACTGCCACTGGATAGGCCTAAACGGTTCTGACGTTAGCGCTGTTATTGGCACACGTCCTATTGTCGAAATTCAATCTATGTATCATTATGTCACATGTGGAATTTCAGATATGTCCGCTGATATAGGCTGATACTTTGACAGAAGAAAAATCGAATCATTAGTTCTTTCAATTCATGACAATCGTGACAATAATCGGTCAAACAATGGACAGAAAGCTAGTCTAACGTAGGAGATTATCGGCTCTTTTAACGTTTTGGGACCACGGCCCCCCCCCCCCCACCCCCTCCCTCTCTTCTCCTCTCCTCTCCTCTCCCCTTTGCTTCAATAGTTTCTGGGATAAACGGAACGTATGGAGAATACACTGTTGGTGTTACAACCAAAGAGGGCGATAGACTATAGATCCGACCTTATATAGTCGTCAATCTACTTCAACCTGGCCAATCAAGTTACACATAGATAAACATCTACTCCGGTGATTAATTCATGTCTTCATGTTATATAAGCTAGCTTCAATAGATAAAATATTAATTTGAAGCGCTTCGCTGTGTTTCATATTTTTTTTATTTACGCTCTATAACTTTTTTGCACCATGTGGGTTAATGAAGACGGGCAACGCCATGCAGGGTGCAATGAGGGAAATTTGGCCAGGACATCGGCATTAGTTTGCTCTTTTTCGATTTCCAACTGTCGACGGAACTTTAACGTGCACAGCCTGTAGATATGGAGCCTCGGTTTATCCGAACGACTAGACGCTTTATCCATGTCAGCCCCTCTTACCTGCATCACTGACAGGGAAACCGGGTTGAAAAATCCGAAGGTATTATCTTGACCTATGCCGGGACTGAACCCTGGACCTTCAGCTTAGCGAGCAAGCGTCTAATTCACCGAGCCACCGCGTCTCCTATGACAGTGATATCTTGTTAAAATGGGTGGAGCAAGGGGGGCGGGGGTGCAGTAGCCTTATAGTAGCTGGCTAGACCGCTAGGCCTTAAAGCAAGCGTTTTTCATGGTAGGCCAAATGAACTTTGCCTTTTTCAAATTAGTTCTTACATAGCTATAGGCCTACCACCTCAAAATTCCACGAAAGTTTTATGAAGGCGATTGTGGACCTTTGAAAATTTTCTTCTGTGGGTAGGCCTACGATCCGGGAAATGCATTTGTCATTCCAAATTCCAAATGCATGTATGTGAAATTGCAAAGGGGGTCTGCGAAGTTTTTAGAATGTCTAATTTAAGCCCGTAACTTTGTAAGCGCCATTTCTAGCGATTTGAGCCAACGAAAAGGAGTGGTTGGCTCCTTCCATGAGTAAGTATGTTTATGAATTTGAAGATAGAAGCCCGGCCTCAAGTTTGCTATTTCCAGCGATCCGAGACAAAACATTTTCCGATGAAATAGAGTATAGGAGTATATAGGCCTATATAGACCTCTTGGCCTAATTATTTTTTCTTCGAGTTATTTCGTGTTGTGACTCAATTCTTATTTTCCGTTGGGCTACACCCGAAGACGGGGTTGCTACTGTTCTTCGATCACAATGACGGCACCAATGCGTTATATAAGATTATGTAACCCAAGGACCATAAAACTATAATATGTAATATCATCTATTATGAGAGGACTACACCACCAAGCCTTTATATTTCCCGCCATATTTTTTACCCAAGATTCGTCTGACCGGAAGTGGATGAATCATTCAGACTCAAATTCAAGATGGTAGGTCTAAATATCTTTCCGCTTGATTTTATTTCTTTTTCTCAAGTTTTCGTCCAGATTCTTGAAGCTTTTATCCTTAAAGACATGTAAACCAATATTATATATGTTTTGTTTATTTTTAGGCCAAATTAACCGAAGATCAAATCGCTGGTAAGTTTTCTAAGCGTTTCTAAAATTGAAGGGTGGGGTTTGAGCTCGATTGAGGAAAATTGTCAACAAACATTCCGCAGGTGCTTGACCCAATTACTCAAAAGTCGAAGATGTCACAAAAAGTTGATATTAAATAGTTTGTTTGATTGTCCCAAAATCACATACTGGTATTTAGAACGTGGAAACTGTCACTGGTCTCGAATAATTGCCACATTGTGTAAATTTAAAGTAGGGAGGGATAGGCTTTGGAAATGACACCATGAATGTCACATTATAAGTCATTGTTTCATTTTCAGATATCACTGAAACATTCAGTTTATTTGATGAAAAGGGTGATCACAAAATAGCTGTACAACAGCTTGGTGATGTCTTAAGAGCTCTTGGACAGAATCCTACTGAAGCAGAAATCAGAAAATGTGGTTTTGATAATAATCAAGGTAGGATTTGTGACATAAGGCTGATTTTGCACTGCTTTACATAGTTACCACAAAGACTCATACTGGTGTTCTTCAGTGCTCTGATTTATGCAACTTTTAAACTTTTCTAACTTGGACCTGAATTAAAAAAGTTTGCAGGATGTCTCATGATTTTTAAACTGGCCCAACAACCAAACACATTAATATTATATAGTATGATATGGGCAATCTCTCTTGTATATAAGGGTTGTTTTTTTTTCACCAATCACCACCTCATATGAGACTAATTGAATAAAGTGAACCATGGTCTATGTATTGATCAATGTGATTTTTGTTATTCTAAACATTTACTTTATATTCCAGATGCAAGAATATCATTTGAAATGTTTCTACCAATTTTACAAACAATCTGTAAAAATCGACAAGTTCCATCATTTGATGATTTTATAGAAGGTTTTAAAGTTTTTGATAAAGAGCAAAATGGTTTAATGAGTTCTGCTGAATTAAGACACATTCTCACATCTTTAGGTAAAAAAGATAGTCTTATATCAATGTACAGAGTCTTGTGACATGATATTTAAATATGAAACATTTAAAACTAATGAAAATTTCTGCTCAAGCAAAAAAGAAATTAAGATTTATTTTCAACTGTGTTTCGAAGCTTCCTTTTGACCTAAATGGCCTTCTTGAGAACTGTATTATCCTGCCAAATATGGCACTAAGCTGACTAAAAACAATAATTGTCCACATTTGTTGTCTATGGTTGCTGTTAAAAAGATAAAAATCTGTTTGTAGGAGACAAGTTAAATGATGATGAAGTAGATCAATTATTTGCTGGTTTAGAAGATGCCCAGGGCAATATTAATTATGAAGGTAATAATTTTAATATTTTATACACTGGGATCTCTATTTGCTCAAGGGTGGGTACAAGGTAACAAGTTACTATTCAACAGAAGGCACTGTTGCCCACAATGGAAATGTGACCAAATGCAATTTGAAAATTCTTCAACACAGAACTAAAAAGAAATTGAAATTAAAAGTTATTAAAAATCCAAGCGTAACCAATTTGACTAAGCTAGTCTGCTTATCTTTTAATTATTTCTTGAGGTCTTTTTTTTTTTTATTTCAGAATTAATCAAGACTGTGATGCCAGACAGAATGTAAAATAATTCTTTGTCTTCAACTCAACAAACCTTTTTTTTTCTTGTATCATTTATAGCTTTATAACAGACTTTGCATTCAGACCACAATGAATTATTTGAGGTTTTGTTTTCAAAACTGATTGGCTCATTATTATTCTTATTATTAAGGTTTGTTCTTGGAAATTAGGTGGAATTCAACTGGTTTGTTATGAGTATTGATAGACATCACTGCCATGATTTGAATTTGATCAGTTAACATCTAGATTATTTCCCTTGCTTAGAATTTCCATGTAATTTGTGTGGTCTGAATGCAATATTTCTATTTTATTATTTTATATTAGAATATCTATATATTATATACATGATGGTGCTTGATTGGCCTGAAATTCAGTTGTGTATTTTTGAGCTTAGAGCAGTGCTATTGGAATATTTAAAAAAAACTGTTCTGTTATCAATTCTATTTGCAATTCAATAGTTATTTTTATAATTTTGCATAGTTAGATGAAGTAAAAAGCATGAAAAAGCTCTAAACAAGCAAAATTTTGTTCAAGTTACTAATACTATGGACCAACTATTGTAAACGGGCATTCATTTTCTTGTCATTAATGATAAAAGCATAGATTGTGTTCACTGGTTAGAGTCTCAAATACACTCTTTATTTCCAAGATGTGTCCTGGCTGATGAGTGTTTGTTTCTTAATAATGGTAGTGAGATTGTTACCACTTGAATTGAATAATAATAAAACCTGGAAAGATGAGTGGATTTCAACACTCTGGAATTTAATATTTGAAAATTGTATAGTCATTCCAACAACATACAATAAAATTTTTATCACATTGGTAAATTGTGTTACTTTTTTTCCCACTGTTCATTTGGCCAGGGTTATTTCTTGTTTATGCAATAATCATTTGGCAGGGCCATAAACGACATACACATCACTAGAATTGAATTAGTGTCATCTATAAGCCACAGTGTGGTTGGGTCTTGTTGAAATTCAGTAGACATTTATGAATGGATGAAAGATAGACAACAATTAGATATTTTTGCACATCCGGATCCGATTTAAGACGAATTCGAAAAGTCCAACTTTTGTTTAGATAGTAACAGCTTCTATAATTCCTACCCAAAAGTAAAGTGGAATGTTTATAAATTGAATCCGACCTGGATGTGTATAATATCTCTGATCGACTATTTGATAAACCCCTTGAAAGTCATGATTTCATTGGATAAAGAAAACTAGCGGTAATTCAGTAATAATATTTTATGAAAGATAATGTAACAATGATATTAAAAAAGGTTCATTAAAAAGATTTTAAACAAATTCAAACTTATTTCAATAAAACTATTCTGAAGAATGACAACAAAGCATTTCTAATATAAATTTGGCAAGAAAAAGAAATGATTAAGTTTAGACAATTGTTTATGATTGGCAGCAAGTCAACTTGAAGAATGACCTTGATCAAATAAGGACATTTTATTTAAATCAATATCTAAATAAATTTTTTACAATTTTAAGGGTGAAAAGTGAATAAAAATATTTTTTTATATTCTTCCACACATGCAAACTTTTTATCAATATGAAACAGTATATGAATGATTGGAAGAGTTCATTTGTAAAATTTGGGTGGTTCCATTTTGTAGGCAGGGTTAAAATATGATGGTAATAATATGAAACTGGAATGATTATGAGAGAGAGGACTATTAAAATGGAATGAACATTAATCAAGATCTATAAAAATATATATGAAATATTTACATCTTTTGTTTGTGTATAAAAATGATATTTACAATATGATACAATTCATATAAAAAAAAGTATCTACAAGGTCTACAGCACTTTCTATCGTTTTTATGGCTTGATTCATGTCTGTTCATGATATATGGGCATTAACATGTACAATCTAAGGTGGTCTTAAAATCAGTAAAATCTATTGAAAATGGTTCGTAATAATTGTACCTGGTACTAAGTTATGAAATTTTGATTTTTGTTATGTTTTAGTTATATTATGAGATTTTTCCATTATGCACCACAAGTTGAAGATTCAACCATCATAAGTAGAGTGGTATATACTATTAAATTTTAAATATTGTTTCAATGCATGAAATTCTGAAAAGCAGCCAAATATGAGTTGCTGGAATGCATAGTAGGTATAATCAGACAAAAATATATATACATTGGGCCTGAACTACATTAGTCTATTTGTCAAGGTATAAAAAATAGTGATTTAAACTATACATGGTGGATCTACAATGTGCTCATCACTACTTGAACTACCTCAAAATAAAGTAGATTGACCCAATTGGCATAGCTAAGGCATGTGCATTTTTATCTTTGTCTGAATATGTATAATTTATGTTTGAGCCTACATGAACCATTCTTGTCGTTTAGCTATTTCACCAATACCAGTTTCATTGTACATGACTGCTGCATCCTGGTTATCTGCCACGTCTGCACCTTTAGCTTCCTGTGTATCATAGTCTCCCTTGTCTCTACGTCGGAATAGAAACACCAGGAATATGATGGAACATAAAAATACTATTGCTAAAATGGCTGAAAAGAATAATTTTATCATATGAAAATCAGGTACTCTACATTTAAGATAAACTTAAAACCATACATAACTGGCTCAGACTGGCAAATTTCCTCAAAAATATGCTAAAAGAGGTCTACAGCTTCAAGATAACAGCACTATTTTTTTTTTCAATAAAAAAAACTCATATAGCCTCATGCTAAAAAGATACCAAGATTTGTAACTGATTTTTACTCTTATAATAAGAATGTTACAGCAAGACATTCAGATCATCATTTGGACAAGCCGAGCAAGTAACTTAAAATCTACAGAACCTGGTAATGAATATCATTCTTACCTCCTAATATGGCTCTCTCCTCCTCGGACATTCCCTCTGGTGCTACGTAAGGGTAGGTAACATTAATATAGTCACCCCCTTTAGGACGGGACTCTAAAATATCTCCAGGTTGTGTTATTTCTTCAAAACCACACATATCTTCTTTTACTGCACCTAAATATTTATTATGAGATATTCTCAGTAGTTTTAGGAGTATAGGCTAGGTTTGGTTGATAAGCACAGTTGTTCCAGTCAACCTGGGGAATGGCTTTTGTTCATTCATAATAACCCTTTGGACATTGGGCAATTTTTTTGACAATAATTGTTATCCCATCATTAATTAATGACTTTAACCTTGCAAAACCTAAAGAACATTTATAAGATTTTTTCTTGAATAACATTTACAACATATTTTCTCAATTTATCTGGTTAAATGACAGACAGAATTTGTTAATGTCACCTACCTGGTGGATTTAAAGTGATAAAATCAGGTTTAGGATCTTGGAAAGCTCGTTTTAAAGGGAAAATATTATCCACCTGAACTCTGAAAATACATCCTTCAAAACCTCTAGATGTATCCGCAGTATCTAAATAGAAAAATAATTATCAGTGACTTCATATATCCATATAGGCTATATATCTTCACTTCCAAAGAAAACTAATGAGGGATCTTTTATACGTCTTTAATGGACTGTTGATCCAAGTAACATACATTGGTTCTTTAAAACAAGATCCTTTGACCTGCATCATTGACATGGAGATAAATAACACTTCACTCTTAACACTATACTATTGATCAAAGTTGGAGCATGGACTTTACTCAGAAAGTACCCAACAGCTCCAGATCTCTCAGTTTATAGTTGATTAAAGAATACAATACTTACTGTTGCTACCAATAAATAGATATTTAGGATTATCTAAAATAGTATCACCATTGTCAGCTACATCAAATGTTTTAATAGATGGAGCATAATTATCAACCTACAAAAATTATTATATCATTTCATTAGTAATTGTAGGTTTTGTTTGTAATCTGCCTCAATAGTGTATGATTTAAACATATAAAAATTTCATATACTAGTAATAGTGTTTTGTTTTTAAATATCAAGTAATAAATTACACAATAACCCTTTATCCTATAAATATAGGCTTCTCCTCCTCAGACATGGCAAATATAGGCTTCTCCTGCTCAGACATGGCAAATATAGGCTTCTCCTGCTCAGACATGGCAAATATAGGCTTCTCCTGCTCAGACACGGCAAATATAGGCTTCTCCTTCTCAGACACGGCAAATATAGGCTTCTCCTGCTGTACACACATGCAATGGTTAATGTTATTTTAACCTCAGGTTTTTTAAAAATGGGGAGACTAAGCAACAATCTCTCTTCCATAATTGTCCCATCACCTTCATCTGGCCAATAACTTCAGACAGCTTACCTGTACTTTAATGGTACGTCCTTTATTACTACGTTGCACTACGACTTCATGTTGTTGTCCATTTGTATAATCTATACCCTGATTAGGTGTATTCACCTCTTCTCTCTGAAAACCTACATCTAAAGCTACCCTCACTCCACCTGTACAAAATATAATAACTCAATGTTTACAACAACCTTGATACTATAAAATTAAAAATGAGCCAATAATACTTGTTACTAGCCCAATAAGCAGTGGCTGAGTTAAAGGGGGAGCAGAGGAGGCAGCCCCGAAGACATGTTTTTTGGGCAAAAATCTCATAACTAGGTTAGAAATTCGGGCAACCTCAGATATTTCGATCCCTCTTTCGGATGTAAACCTGTCTCTGCCACTGCCAAAAAGATACTCAATTCTCAAATGAATGTGGCAAAATTTCTATTTTCCGCATAGTTCACTACTAGTGTTTTGTTATCAAGGAAAATTTCACTCAGAGTCTTGATACTAACATAATATATTTTCCAATGACTTGTTTTGACTTACCATTGTTATTGACCTCTACAGTAATATATTCAGTATTAGCCTCATTTCTAATCTGTAACAAAATTCCCTGTTTTTCTTTCGTGGAGAATCCAACTCGAGCAAACTGGAAATCCGAGGCAGAGAGACCTTGAATGGCATCAAACTCATATTTTACTTGATAATTCTTTTGTAAATTCACTCCAACCTCTGAAAAAAAAAATAAAAATTTCAAAACCTAAAAAAGTTGAAGACAATGAGGGAAAGATACCAACTCACTGAGTCACCTGTGTTTCCTACTTCTTTCCACAAATAGTGAAGGGCAACACTTTGCAGTGTTCAATATGGAAATTGTCTTGCTAGGTTTTAGATTGTAGAGGAATAAAACAAACTGACTTGAGATAAATGGTGATAAAGATAACACTAACCTCGTCCACACATCCAGCCTCTAAATGGTGTATAAGAACAATCACAGGTGTAACCAGAATATCCTTCACGACATGTACCACCATTAAAACATGGACTACTGCTACATTTACCTACACACCCTGTAATATATCACACGAGAAAATAATTAATTTAAATGATATGAAATCAGTTTAAGTCTGTTAGTGCTTAAGACACAATGTCATTTGTGTGGTAACATTGAAGAAAAGATGGTCTTGGGTTTAAACTCCTTTAGTGTGTGAAAGTCCGTTGACTATGAATAAATCATTTTTCCTCATAGTTTCAGTTGTGAATGTGTATGGATAATCCAGGAAAGATCAAATTTCAAGATGTTTGGCCAAAAACCAGCATCCTTATTATTTGTAATAAACACGTACCACCTCAATTTTTTTTGAGCTCTTGATGGAATGCCTGCTAAAGCCTAGAGTATTTCTCTCATGGCCTACTCAAAAAATGCTTTTTCTATTGCATGTTGAAATATATAACTTACCAACAGAAACACCATAAGTAACCTCTCCTCTCTCTACCATACCTCTCATATCTAACAACTGACCATTAACACGTAGACCCCTCATACATCCTACATATCCATCATTATAATCTACCGCAGCTCCTATAATATACCCAATAATTTAACTCACATTCTAGGACAAACAGCACAAAAGATTAAATAATATGATTAGCTAGTGTATATATGTAGACATTCTTTTCCATGACATACTGCAATGTATTTTTGAACCAATTATTAAGTGTTATTTATATTGATAAAATATATGCACATTATTTATAAGCAATAGCTCAATCAATCGCCAGGATACATTTTGAAAATAGAGAGTGTTTTGGATTATTTCTTTAGGAGGACTCTAAATGGTTTCTATTGTATTTGACATACCTATAACCAGCTGTCCAGTAAGATCTAACATTCTAATTAAATCAGAATCTTCACTAACAAATACATCTGGTTGATCATCTATTCTCATCCAAGCCTGTTTACGATTATGTTCAACATGTACAGTATGCCAGTTATCATCATTCAGAGGTCCTGGTGATTTAAACGACAACACCACTACTCCATTACCAACATTATAACGGAACTGAATCGTGTCCATTTCTGAAAGGAAAAGAAATTAGAATGATGCTAACTATTAACCTTCCTATAGTAACTATAGTGGTAGGTACAGTTAGTGAGTCAATGCATGCTCATCCTTCTGAAACATTTTTTAATTCTCTACAACTGGATTGGGTTTGCTAAATCCACATTCCGTTTGCTGATGGCTAGGTGATATTTGATATTTATATTCCACCTGATTTAAATTTCAGAGAGCCAAGGTTTTACTTCTAAAATATGATGTACAGGCCTAAGATGGTATCAATACCATGTTCTTCTTTCAATTTTGAGACGAAAAGACTATAAAATAAACGAGCAGAAACACTTACGGAAGAGTCTGACCTCAATGAAGTCAACAGGTCCTGTGTTATGGATCATGACACCATCAGTGGTAGTTGTACGGAACTGGAACCAAATATCACCAGCGTTCTCTGCCTCAAATGTGGCAAATTCTATTGTAGCATCAGCTTTACGGAACGTGACCACATTATCAAATAAATCTATAATGGCATCAAAATAAACAATGACTACAACATTTTAATCTTGAACAAAAAAAAATTTCATGGTTACTTTTAACATGCAGTTCAGTATCACCATTTTCCATTTTAATGGTGCACACAACAAGGACAATCTATATAATTTTAATAATTAACAAAGACAATTTCCACTTGGAGACAGGACAGATTGAAATGACAGTTAAATTTTTAGAATAAGAATGGTTGGTTCCACTAACATGTTGGATATTCAACCCTGAATTTTTGGATATTGCTCTCTACTAACTTAAGGTTTCCACATCATTGAAGCAATACAGATCTTTGAGACAAAATTTCAACACAAAATCAATACAAGATTCCACTTACCATCTCCCTCACATTCCAACTCTTTAAGAAGATGAGCTCCTAATTTATTATCAGTGACTGTTCCAGTATCACCAAAATGGAGCTCAATAACTGGTAGATATTCTTTATGGACCAAATATCCACCATCATTTTTCTCTACTGGTAACATAGCATCACAATCACAAGTCGTACTGCCACCCTCACAACCTTTCTCTTCCAACCCACACTGACATTTCCCTGAGCCTGGGGCTGCCCCACCCCAATAATACATAGGTTGAAATGTTCTACCGACCCACCAACCATATGTACGGGGTAAGTTACTATTTTGGTTGTTGACTAAAGGATTTTGGTTGGTGTCAGTGTTGTCTACTGGACCTGTAATACACAATTTGAAATGCAATTAAATGGGATGTCCTTTCTTAATGTTATTAGGTTCTTGAAATTGAGAAATATTATCTGAGGTCAGAGGATCTAAATCAACAGCACTCTCTCCATTGAACCCATAGATAACTTCAGCAAGTGACACAAACATCTTACTCAAATGGCTCTCTCACTCCTTATGAAAAGGATTTTAGATCCATATGTTGCTTTTCCTATTGACAGTCATTTAGAATTTCTTACCTGAGTTGATTGGAGCTAAAAGTCGTGAATTATTGCAGAAATACTGAATAAATTGACGACAGCTCTGAGCTCGTTCTATAATCTCTGTAAGCTCTGGAAGATCAGTGACGTAATTAATCAACCGTACATACGATCCTGGTTCATCATAACCATTGACTGTGATTCTACTCATACTGTCATGTGATATTTTAGTTTTTGTTATTCTTTCTGATACTGTAAAATAATAAATAACAATATAAAATTTCTTTAAATTTATTTTCAATTGTGCAATACCTCTTAAATAAATGTAATAATAATAATTGTCTCATGGAGCTCCAATATTCACTCAAAGGATTTATGAAAAACCCGCCTGAACCCTTGATTAATGACCAAAATTACCCTTCAACCCTGATGCAGTGTCCAATTCAATTTAACTCTCCCTAGCCCTGAAGTGACAAAAATTACTAGCACCTACCAGTATCACATTGTACAGGGAATGGTTTCAGAGGTCCAGAACCATCAGGATCTATCATAGCATCTTCTACTCCTTCAACATTTGAATACAGTTTGTGCATGGCACATGATACTTGATAAGCAGCTGAAATATTGAAACAGTACAGGTTAATATAGGCATTGCACAGACATTGTCTCAAAGGCAGTATTACAGGGTAACTTTGATTGGAGCCCGGGTTAGACTCCAGTCACTCGAGTCACAACAGAACTGTAATAGTTGAGTAATAGTGAGGTAATATTTGACCTAGTTAGAAGTTTGGACACTCACTATTTGGAGAGTAAAACACAAGTTAACATAAAATGCCTATATATAGTTGAAAGTTCCTGCCATATGGCCGTAACTTGATCAAATTCAGCTCGGCTTGTGCACTGCATCAACTCTAGCTTGACCACAGAGGTTCAATCAAAGTCACCCAAGGGTGTACCAAATAAGATTGTGTAGAGAATGAAAAGAAGAGCACTCAGGATTATTATCAAAACTATAGCCGAAATTGTGCTGATATATTATGTGCTTTGTTATTATAGAAGCTTGCTATACCATAATATATTTTTTTGTATATTTTGTTTGAGATACTTACAGATATGACACAACTGTCCTTTGTATCCAGTTCCATCACAATTACAATAGAAACTATTCCAATCTTGATGACATCGTCCACCATGTTCACATGGGTTGGGTGTACATCTAAAAATAACAAAATAACATAATTAACAGGTATGTTAACAATATAAAGACATGTCAAGTTAACAGAACATGTATATTTTTTGAGTCCTATGAATTAAAAGATTCATAAGGCTGATATTTTAGCCAAACATTCTTTTGCTGCACCATAAATTATCTCAGTCGTTGCAGGATCTCAAAAGTGGCAATGCGAGCCAATGTCAGGATAAAATAAAAAACCAACAAGTTTGAACACAATTCAAATTCTTTTTCTATGAAGCTCACAAACTCTTCACCTTTAAAGATTGTAAGATGTATCTGAAGACGCATCAGAACAACTTGACACTCCCTCCCCCCTCTCCCTCGCTTTTGACTTGATAATAATGACACTAGACTTACCTGTCTCTGATACCACAACTACCAATATCAGCATCTACATTCGTCACAATCTGTGGATCATCGGGATCAATCTGTTTCGTCTGAACTTCAATTTTACGCATACAGCCTCGGAAACCCATCGTAACAATTTCAAAACCACCTAAATACATAATAGAAATAGTTTTAAAGCGAAGTTTTATGAAAAAAAGATACTTTATAAGTATAAAATCGCTTCAACAAAACCAACAACATTTTACATCCTATATGCACTACAGAGCCAGGGAGGCTTAGCCACGGTACCTAATGCCAAGCTAAGCATGCATAAGCCTCACATGTATAACCCTATTGCTGAATTAAACATTTTCTTCATTCACCCAAGTTCTGGATATTTTCCCCACATCTGACATTCTATACTACAAATATACAGTAATATATACAGTAATATATACCATACATCAATATAGCCCCAAAACAATATAAACCCTGAATTTTACGCACCAATATAGAAATCTGTTCCAGCACTTATTTCAAGCCTTCTATTAGAGATTTTAACATTTCTATCTACTGTACAGTTGACCATTTTATCATCCACATAGATTGAGAAGGTGTGCCATAAACCATCTGTAAAACTTCGGGTTGAACTCAAAACATCAGCTAAAAAAAACAGAGCAAATAATCATTAGTTTTTCTGTATAGGATGTTTCACAACTGCAATGGCTCAGGTACCCAAATTTACAGTTTGTTCGAAGCATATATATTTTTTTTACAAGATGTTTTGTCAATATCAAACGTTTTAATAAAGAAATTTCTTTGGATCAGCATAGCTAAGTTAGTCAAAAAATTAACAATCAATTTCAGCTGTCAATGAGACTTTGAAACAACAAGAGACGTTTCGAGTGAGGAGCAAACAGTTATAAGTGAAGTCAAAAAATTAAAAATTATTGAATTATTGAAACTGAATTGAAACTTACTATTTCTGACAACATCTTCTACTTTCTGGCCATTAACATTAATTGTATAATGAACATAGCCTTCTTCATCTAGTTTTACCTAAAATACAGAAATATTTCTTCATTGGTGCTTCCTGTGAATAGGACAGCTTATATAAAATTAGAGAGCAGATCCTGTGAGCAGTAATTCTTAGATTCAAGTTGTTGAGAATTAAAAAATATGGGAATATATTGAACAGGCTTCTTCCTACGCTAAGAACCGTTTTACAAATTCATTGTCTGTGAGCACAATCATACAAAACATGAAAATTAACTCTAGATTACAGCAAATGACTTAAATGACTTAACATGTAGCTCTTAGAAGCAGTGGCGAAAAGAGAGGCTGGCCTGGCACCCACCCAACTTTCAAAAGTGAAAGAATTACCCCTTCACATCTAATGATTCATAAAAACACCACTGCTGGGTAGAGTCTCAATAAACCAATCTCACCAATAACCTGATACAATATACACAGCTCAATAATAGTTTTATATTGGCCTCACCTCAACCTTTTCATCAGGTTTATTCACAACTAATGGATGATACAGTAGTAAGCCATTTTCATCATGGGTACGGAATTCAAACTGTACTCGGACTGGGCCTGTACCATCTCCCTTCACTAACAGATGAGATGTAGATGTGGGGAACGATAGTGGTGGATCAGATCTCAACTAAATAATATAAACAATTAATAATAATAGCAGACACAGGAATAATTTTGTTAAAGGCATTCAAAGCAATTAAAATAAGGTCTTTATATGGCAGTTAGTATTTGTAAGTATGATATATACCACAGCTTTATGGAACAATATAACTTTAACAAGTGATTGTCATTACTGTGTCCAAATATTCAAAGATTCAGTTGGCAGCTTGTTAATTTGTAGTTCTGATATTGGTAGTCTAAAATGTCTACTAATGTTTTATCAACATACTATATACTATATCTGTAAACACCCAAACACTATAGGCTACAAATATCATTAAACATAAAGTATATTTGATAATAAAATAACATCTCAGGTTTTCAAATATATGATAGCAATATCTTACCCCACAACTAAAAGAAACCGGGCCAACTTTTCTAATCATAGTTGATTCCCCTGCTTTGGCATCGACCAACAATTTAGCTCCGTTAAAATCAACGTTTTCGACACATCCAACAAAATTATACTTGACTTCAATACCATCTTGATTAAAATAGGGCACACCACCAATATATACCTAGAAAACAACATCAACATTGTGGGTTTAAGCCAAGCAACCAATTAAGTGCACCATCCTACATATAAACCTTACGAGAAACGTTCCTTGACATGCCTAGGCAGCTCAAATTCACCTATAATTCAATTTGACCTTTGTCAAAGAACATAATAATGTAGAACTGTCATTCCAGATAATGCACTTTAATCTGGGATTTTAATGGCTGCATAAATATCCATTTAAAAAAGTGCTTCATGTAATTGATTAGAAATAATAAGGTTATCACTCACAAATTTATCCAGATCTAGCCTGTAAAACAAGCCTTCTGTTTTGACTTTATTTTCCAGTCTATCAACTACTACGAGTAATTCGTGTTTCTGACGTCTGATGACAACATCGTGCCAGTTGTGATCATCTAATAAACTGCCACCAATTACTTCTGTTCGTCCTCGGGTAAATTGTGTGGAGCCTAAAAACATGAAGTTGAAATGAATAGAGAAAATTATAATGGACCTGTTCACCATTTCCCAAAAATCTTAAGATCCAATTTTTGCTCTTAGTCTGTCACTTCTGAGAGAAAATTTCTAGAAAATTTCTTCAAATGAAATATCTCTTACCTAAATCTAATCTGAAGTACAGGAAACCTCTTCTCATTTCTAATAACACAAAATCTCCTTGGTTACCACTAGCATAGAATATTATTCCATCAGGTTTATTGGTTTTAAATCGTAGCTCTAATTTATCTTCCTCTGTCTGTACGGCTTGCTGACTGAGATCATATTGGATATATCCACTACCACCGAATGATGTTACATAGGGCACTGAAAGGATACAATTAATATCAGTATTTTAGTCAATAGATCATCACTGCTCTTGGAATATGGCTTGCTTTTAAGCATCCACATCCATAGGAGCACTAATTGTTTAGAGGGGCAAATATTTTTATCTCTCACAGAATATATCCCATTAACATATGTAATGACTCAAAAGAATTCTGTTCTCTGATCACTGCATAAAATGCATTCAATACAATTCCTGCAGAATTTCAATTTTGTTTATTTAACTTGAATTTTTTATTTGATTAAGCTTAAAGTAATAAAAAAACATGATGAATAATACTCACCAAAAACACATCCAAATACCTCTATTCTCATAGAAATAAACATATTCCATCGTTGTGGGTTAAACCTTACATATCTAGCTGTGATTGGGTAACGTAAGGTGTTTTTAACTTCTTGATAACCATTGGTATTACCATCGAACATCTAGAATTAAAGAATATTCATTTCGTAAAACAATATAAATCATAAATTTAATTGAGATAACTTTGAGACCATCTTCTCTTCACAGACTCCAGCATGTACCTTGATTGATTCATCTGAAGTTAATAGTAGCACCATTTTTTCATTTCAGTTCTGCAGCAAATTATTTTTTCAAACCACCCTTTCAGCTTCTCCAAATTTGGTGATTTAATATGACCCTCAGGCTTATAATTCCTCTTAATAAGTCTTTTAAATCTCTAAAAGGAGTAGTTAAGTTCCTTAAAAATTGAAAATAAAAAAGACAAGTTTACCTCTGGTATACCATATTCATTGGTATATATTCTCCAAGTTTCTCGATCATCAGAAAACTCAAGAAAATATTCTGTTACAAATTCATCGCTACCTCTTCTACCCTGGGTGGCAACACTGGTTATGATATATCGCTGTCCTAGATCTACTGCTAGGTACTGCGCCGAATTCTGGGTACTGGCCGTCCACGCTCCTACAAGTGAATAATGTTATATCTGATCTAAAGGATTTTGTCATTGTAGCATATCAAAATCTGTTGACATGTTTCACAAAATATTTCATACAAGACATATACCTTAAATTACAATAAACTAAAAAAAAACCTTTAACAAATGATTTAGCTTTCTATCTTGAATGACCTACAAAATGTTCATTAACCAATTAATGTCTAAATCATAGAGAGTTACCTGATGAGTCTCCCAATCTGGCATCATGTGCAGGACGTTTTTTATTTGGTGCTGAAGACCAGAAAGCAGAATCTGGAATTCTACCAGAGCCGATGCCTACAGGTTCCTGGTAGGCTGTTCTACATTCATCATATTGGTAAATTTCTCCTGTAATACATCATACAATGGGATTATAGTCAATTTGGCACTTTAATAAAAATGACCCCAAAAGTCAAAATGGCCCCATATACAAAATCTTTATATTTTTCTTTTTATCTAATACATTTTTGAAGATTAAGTTGTGTTTTGGACATAAATTAATGCCGACACTGAAATTTGATGATGGTAGCTTTTTTATTAATCAATTAATATCTTTTCATTAAATCCAAATTTGTCTGGTGAGGCATTTTAAGTGTGTTTATCATTTATTTTTTCATTTTATAAAAATTACACAATCATGCAGGTATAAACACTTCACAATGAAGTAAATTAATCTATACAAATCTGAATAATTTCTATTAAACAACACAATCTGTGATAGAAATTTAGAAATTTGTGAAAATAATTGAATTTGCCTCTAAAAAAAGCCACAATAAGTTTCCGATGTTATTTCATAAGTCATAATAAATTCCAATATTGTGACTCATTTTCTTCATTTTCACACTTTTGTTGTTTATATTATTGGTTGATTACCTACTCTTTAATTATTATATAAATGCAGGTAGCTTATGATAATCATAACTTAAGATTAATATATTGTATTATCAATACTAAAACAATGATTGATAAATGAAATTCCTTAATTAGAGGTAAAAGGGGCCGCCATTTTGACAATATCTAAAGTAGGTCATCACAGGTGAGAGTATTTTCAGGTGTTTCACGACACGACAAAAACTTTAATTTATTTCAAAATTCAATAATAGAAATTGTAAAACTTACTTGATCGTGCTGCAGATGATATCTGAAAAATCGCCGCTAAAATGGACAGAAATACTAAACTTATTCCCTTCATGCTAGCTAGTTCTCCGACATGTTTTTCAAAGCTGTCCAGTATATTTTACCACGTGACCTAATTACAGGTGTGTCATTGGTTGTCACCTGCCAGGTAAATTCAAGGGACATAATCGGTGGGTATGGAAGAACACAGTTAACTTTTATCCGAATTAATGTTGGAGGACCCTGTTTTAGGCATTGTTCTTCGCCCTGCACATATGGTGGTATTAGTCATCGTAATACTTCACATTGCAAGAGGCTTTTTATGGAATGGTGTATTACGCCCTTCTTATTTGCAGCCGTTTTTGCTAATAAATGAGTTAAATTTTGCCATTTAAGCAGTATCAGCCTACTCTTATTTTTTTTATACTTTCAATATTTAAGGAATTTTTTAACAATGTGGGTCTTGTCTGATACAAACGACTAACTTCTTTTTTCCATGTCAGCCCCTACATTTGATATGGGGAGACTGGGTTGAAGAATCCAACAGTGTCATCTCTACCAAGTCCATGATTGAATCCCAGAACTTCAGTGTAGCAAGCAAGCATATAACTCACTGTGCCATCACCACTCCCACCAGGCTTTTTAGCACACCAGAACATTGCATTGCACAAGCTGCTTCCAATATTGGCTTGACAACATCCAATTTGCAAGTCAGAGGAAACAAACTGCAATCTATTTTCTTCAGAATATCTTGATTTTGTGGGAGAGTATACAAATTCAAGCAGACACAAATCAGGATTATCTGGATTTATCAAGTTCAATTTTATTGAAAAGTCTGATTTATTTTACATTTGTACATAAAAAAGTCTTATGTATACATTTAGTTCCTTTCACTCCGAAAAAAAAATAGAAAATAAACATCAACAAAAACACGGTTATCCATACACAAGCTAACAGACCAGTACTTCTGGTCTCCAAAATCTTTCAAAATAATATATTAAATTTCTTACATACAAAAACTTGGCCATAATCATATTGAGGATTAATAAGGAGGGGGAGGAGGCTGAGGTGCATTATTTTGTGGGAGGGGTGGGGGCAGAGGCGGTGTGGTACCTAAATCAGAGTCCAACAAGTCTATATCAAAGATACTAGGCTGTTGAGACTGGGCTTGTTGCTGTGCTATTTGATATTTTTGATGATTGATAATATTCTGTAACTGTGACTGTAAATCACCTATCACCTCCTGCTGGTTTGATCCTGGCATCGAGCCCCCATTAGAGTTCATTCCCTGCACAGCAGAGTGTTGACTGTCCTGATAAGAGTTACACATCATGTTAGGATTAGGATATTGTGCTTGCCCATAATTTGATTGATGACTTCGTTGATATGACTGATCAAACGAAGCATTCATATTGCCTTTAGTAAGAACATGTGGGGGAGGGGGTGGTCCCGACTGATTCAACCCTAATTTATTTTGAAGCATATGGGGTGGAGGAGGTGGATGATGGGATAGGTGTTGTGGGGGAGAGAATATACTGCGATCTTTACGTGATGAATTTGAACTTTTCACACTTGAACTTCCAGGTGATTTTGTACTTGATTTACCAGAGCTCCACATAGCTCTATCAGAGTTATTGCCCCCTTCACTATAAACAGTTCTGTTTTTAGAATGACGATCACCACCAGAGCTTCCGTTACCAGTTTCCACTTTATTGGATGAAGGGGGATAATTCTGTCCACTGAATAAGTCTGTGTGATTAATTGTACCAGCAGGAAAATTGTCATTAGAAATAGGATGTGTTTCACTACGACGATGTTTAGAATGTCTTTCACTAACATCAGACAACTCATTATCAGATTGATGAGAACGTTTCACAGCCTTAGAACTCATATCATGTGATCTCGATTTGTCAGACTTTATTGTCATTTTCAAAGGAGAGCTATGCTCTCGTTTCGTTTCATGTCGTTTGGTGTCTTCTCGAGACATGTGATGTAAACTATCAAACGCATGTTGTGTTGCTTTTCGTTCAGGGTCCACACGACCGTGATGATGTGATCTTTTAACATCTCCATTCCCGTGAGGTTTATTACTAGCATGACTTGAATGAACAGTCATTCTCTCCTTTTCCTTTCGTTCCTTATATTCTTTGTGTTGTTTATAGTCTTTTATATTTAGAGGGGGGTGGCCTGAATGAGATTTACTATCAGTTGATCGTGAAGATCCTGAACTACTTGCTGTATTTGTTGGATGTTGAGATCGTTCTGAATTTGCCTTCACATCATTTATAATAGCTGAAGAATCTTCAAATATATTCCGGGAATGGCTTGAATCCGATTTAGGTTTGGAGGAGGACGATTCTCCACTTTTACTCGTTGATTGAACAGCATCACCTTTCATAGATTCATCACCATTTTTACCAGACTGTAAAGAGATGATATATATTATATTAAAGTAACAATTAAGGAGCACCTGCTTGACATATAACATATTGTGCTACATTTAGATAATTATAACAGAGCACCTGCCAGCCTCTATAGTAACAGCTGTCTTGAACATAGTACTTTCAGCTTACTAATATACATAAAGTATATATTAATGAAATTAAGTGTTTATTTAGTTAATAGGTCAGTAGAATCAGCTGATCAATACAATATACATATCCAGTCTGATATATTATTAGTACTATGAAACAGACTGTAGTAAAGTAAAGATCTAAGGGATTGTAAAGAGGTTTTCTAAAATTTTAACGTGTATCAAGGACACTGACAGCATCAATTTGCACCATTTCAATTTTTAGTCAGACATTTTTTCTTGCAATTCCACAAAAAATAAGCATTTGATGACGTTATTCATAGCAAAATATGCTTTTCACAGAATAGTGACGTCATCAAACACTTACTTTTAGTGGAATTGTACGACTACAGACGTCCGATTTGGAAAGGAATTGATGCTATTTGAGTCTGAAATACAGGAAAAAAATGGAGAAATTCTCTTTACAATCCCTATAAGTTTTTGATATTTGACACATCCAAAATTTTGTGTATTAGCCTTATTCTATATAAATATATAACTTACACGCCATGTCATTATCTTCTTTTTCAGTCGACTTGGACATTTATCTAGTATATTCAGAAAATCTTGAGTCAGCTCTGAAACAAAGACCATACTACTCTGAATATTGAAGAAAAAACCCATCTGGTTAGCAAAACAGAACACCTTTCTAGTTAACAGAGGGACTCTCCAGTCTTAACCATGTCGACAGCGTTCATGGAGATAGCATGGAAAACAGTCATTGGAGAAACATACATTGTATTCTAGAAATACAGCTCCAACTTATAAGAAAGTATAAGAAAGGGGCACCTTACCTTCTAACAAGTCAATAGTAATATGTTTATCTACATAATTAAACCATAACTTTCCTTCATGGGATGAGGGAATCTGAAAATTATAAGACTACTAATTTACATTCATGACGAACTGTGAAAAATGTCTGCACTGATATATCAGGGGTCCTTACATTTGCTGTAAACTTAAGCAAGTATCATTACTTTCTTTAATAATGTAATTCACAATGCACATAAACTAATGCACCATTGTTGTGAAATTTTTGATAAAATATCCCTTATGAAATGTTCAGCTGTTAGCTTGTTTCAAGAACTCAAGAGCTGCTAACTTTAATGACCAATATCAATTCATTCATTAAATTCAGTGTCCATCCAACCGTGCAAAAAAAAAAGATATCACAATATGCCTACCTCATATCCTGACCATTTACAAGCCAGATGAATACACACACAAGCTACAACATTGGGTTTCTGTTGCAGGCACATTGTTGTTAAATGTAAGCTGAAATTGTTTGATGAATGTTTTAATTATCAGGAACAATAAAGAATTGCAAAGAAAAGAAATCAGCCATTCTGGATTCTGAAATTCAAAAGTTAGTCAGTAACCATGGAAATAGGAATTTCGCTTTTTGATAAATCTATCTACTTTACATTGAAACAAAACATGAATTTTTAAGTTACTCAAGAGACAAAATTTTATTCCCATTTCCTTGGTTGTATTTTCTGTAGCAAGTTATTTAAAAAAATAATTCTGGTTGCTTCAATTTTCAAATAAATTTACAAATTTATAAAATCAAATTTTTTAAGAATTTAGATTAGTTATTTATTTTATTGTATTTTGTTACTTTCAGGTAAGGTAACATATATCATACCTTTATCGACCAGTCAATTGATAAGAAAATCTTAACTTAAAGAACAGGTTCCATTATGGAACTAAAATATTCATTGAAAATCATTTTGAAAGTTGAAGCAACCCCTCAAAAAAGTTTCTGATTTATCAACCTTCAGCCTCAAAACCAAAACCCTCAATTTAAGCCATTTTCAGTCGATCACATAGTTTCAATTGTATATTTATGTTAATATGGATACAATAAGAATTGGTAACCACCTGTTGGTTGCCAGGAAATAGGACGTCTGGGCCAAATCCTTACTAGCTATAATACCAGACGACATCCATCAACATCAGAAGACACCGAGCAGAACAGGATCAAAAAGAAACAAAGTAATACATTAGCTCAGTATATATACCATGATATCACAATTAGAATTTATGACATCTTGATGATTGCCAGAGCTATCATTTTCATGCACTGTAATCTCATGTTTATAAGACATACTTGCATAAAAATCGGGTGACTGGCATAATATACAAATAATCTCTGTGACATGTCTATGCCACTATGTAGTCAACTTTTAAGTTAATTCCATGACATCACATATTCTCAATTAAGTAAAATTTATGCTTTTAGTTTAAGCCACATGCCATAAAGCCACAATAATAATTTCAACACAAGCAACCCATAACTTGTCAAATTTGGAATTCGTTTATGAATAGAAAACACTGCCAAAACTTCAACAGTTGAAGTGGAAAGATTTAAAAGATTTAGAATTATTGAATAATTGGACAAATTTCTGGGTTGCAAGGTTGAAATTTAAGACTTTATCAGAATATCTTATTCTTTGTCAGTCAAAATTATTGTATCAATTATTTTCTTAAAAGAAATATTCGACTTGACAAATGAAAAGAAAAACTGAAAAACTCTTCATGGATGGAAAGATAAATTCCTATATTTTTTCAGTGTTCTTTTCATCATTATGCTTCTCCAAGAAAAAATGGGGAAGTGTACTTTTCTGCACATAATTCATCATTGAAGGGCAAAGATAGTAGGCATCCATCATAGGCAGATATTATTTTGAGGGTTATATAATAGTCCTACCTCTAACTAACTGACATGTAGTAACAACTGTTGTGTGAGGGTGGTCAACTCGTACTTCAAACCCTGCAATAAAAGATATCTTCAGGACTCCAACTTTTCAAGAACTATATTATTTTGTCCATAGCTCATGTCTTCCTTTGACACAATGATATCTAAATTTCTGTAATCATTGTCAAGTTATTCTCCTAGCGGATAATTACGTGTTTTATTATCATATAACACCATTATAAAAAATTCATCCTAATTCTTAAGACTATTATGGATTGGTAACAAAAATGGAGGCAGAAGGTAGAGAAAAGCAAAATTGTGGCTTACCTAGAGTTTGAAGAAGAATGTTTTCATTTATAATAAGTTCCTGAGCATATTCGAGGTAAGTCTACAAACACAGAAAATAATGTTGTAAATATGGTACAACATCAAAATATCATGGAGATTAAGTCGAATTGATGTGTCCTGCTGTTACTGACTGACTTATCAACTTTTCAGTCCACATGCAGCTACAAAATTTGACAGGTCATTTATTACCTTTTTCAGGGGATTTCAACCTACTATGGTATTTCTTTGACATTAATTATCATTAAATTGTATGGAGAGATAAATCCTTTAAGGAATAACTAAATTTACATCATACATTCGCTATATAAAGCTGTATTATCTGACATGATATTGAAATTAATTTTTACCTCACTTTTGGTATCAAGAGAACCCTCTCTTAAACAACTATGAGCTGTTTTTATCACATGTTCTAATTTACGAGGTTGTTCTTCAACCTTGGCAGCTAAAAATAAACAAGCTGGGCTCATCACCTGAAAAATATCAAATCAAAATTGAAGAAATTATTATCGCTTTTATAGAAGAAACTCTTCTATAGAAGTACTGGCCAAGGTTTGAATGATAAATTCAATGAATTTCTCTAAAAATTCATACTTGGCATTTTGTCCACTATCAATAAAATTTTGACAAACTTTCTTAAAACCCAATACAAGATTGTATTATTACTCAAGAGTAAAAACATTACAACTTAAACTTACATTTCTGTTAAATTTGGTAAAACTGTGGAACATGTAGAAACGGTGCATATAAACTATAGCTGTGTTGATACATAATTGATTTCTGAAAATTTGTTAAGGTTTGTAAAAATAGAATATTGCAAATAGCATCAAAATAAGACTTATTTCCTGCTTACTTTGCAAATATTGTCAAGAGACCTTGGTGAAAAGTAAAGAAACATAATATTACAAAAGCAGATTATTTGCTCTTATTTCCTACTAGGGAATTATGCAATCACTTCATTTTTTCCTGGTGGTCATTCAAAAAGAATTAGAATGAAAACTTGAAAACAATCAACTGCTTTTTGGATAGTGAATTGTGTTTGGTGACAATAGAAATGGCAACTCATTATCAAAAGTTGAGACCTAATGAGTGGTAGGAAAACAGATTTCATATTGAGCTTAATGCTCTAAACAATGTAAAGAAAGCAATTGCGTCTGAACAGAATATTTCTTGGCATCATGCCTGAAATGCTTTATAAGTGAAACTGCCACTATTGTGAAGTAAATTCGAGTAATGCAAGCTTGTTAAGGACTGCGATATCAGTATGGATTTGGAGGTGGAGAGGATTTTATGCATTTCAGTGGCAAAATATCTTAGTAGCCAATTCTTATTTGCTGTCAAATGCATGTGGATTCTGTAACCCACAACCAAGTTGTTGGATTAGAAATTACAATATAACAATTTCAAAGTTTTTTCTGGAATTATATGCACCCCTGACATTAAACAAGAAATTGATGTGGGAAAGAGAAGATAATTGTATCGATAATCTACAAAACTAAACTAGAATACCAGTACTCTTTTCAAATTCTGTTACCCAAAGTGTATACTTGGATATTAAGACATATAGGGATCATGTTCTGATTCCAAAAGATTAATAAGAAAATCAACATCAGAGACATGACCATAAGATTTACATTTAGAGTCTAGAAATGAAATGTGAGTTACTCAAATGATGTTTGCTTTTAAAACAAGAATAGGATACAATTAGGAATGAGCAAATTAGATGATAAAGTAGAAAGAACTGAAATAAGGTATGCAATTAGTCATCACCGCTCTATTACAGGAAAAGAAAGATTTATGTTATGTTTGAAGCTTATTTCATGTTACAATATGAAGATGCTTTCATAAATGAATATATATGTGATGGGGAAAGTGAATGTATTAATTGATGCAAAAATACAAATTTTCGCAGAAAATATTCAATATTTATTTTTAAAACGCAATGGATCTAGATCTATTATATATCAATGACCTATTTATCACGTGACTTGTCTAGCCGGTCAGGTCATCTTAGTGCGAAACTTCAAACGAGTTTTGGATACGAATTAGTCCTCAAAATGGCTTCAAAACCATTCCTTCTTACACGAGACATCATAGAGAAACAAACTGACGAAGAAATTACATCAAATAAACGCCAAATACACAAATATTCAACGACAAAAAAGTCGAAACAAAATGCAAATGGCGAGCGTCATGGTGAAATTCCGTCATCAACAATGGTCGAAATGAAACCAAAATTTAACAATGATCAGGATACGTTTGGAGCCGCTGTCCCATTTCTTGAATCAAGTTTGCTGCTTGCTGTCTATATGATAATTCTTTGTCGATGTCTACTCCACATTTTCGGCTGGGGGTTTCCAATAATTGAGACTTCGTGAAGATCCATCGTTCCCCCGCCATTTACACAACACCGAGACATGTGCGGAATAGTACGCATGCGCTTAGAAATAAAATCACCGCACTTACGATTTTCCTCATAAATGATTGGATTTCTTAAAAAATATAAAATTCTTAAATTTTTAGAAAGAGTTTGATTTCCAAAATTATATTTTTGTAAAATAGTAAGTGAGATAAGAAACTAAACAAGTATTTTATTTATGCAAATTATTTCATAAAGGATACCATTTCGCTGTTCCACAAGATGAACCACCTCCCTTCATCCGCCATTACCAATCGATTTATGTCGATAATAGCCCAAATTTTTAATCCAGTTACACTTGAAAACCCTTCTTCGACAATATCCATAATTATCACAAATGTAGTAAGTGTTGCATCTTCTGCCTTTTGATAACTTTCTAATGTCTAACGACATCAGATTATACTCGTAATGGAAGCTTTGAGGAGAAGCTTGTCCGAGCCCGAGAGCGGCCATATCAAGATTGCCAAGTTAACATACAACTCGACCCCATTTTGCATAGCGAAGTCGGCTGTTCCATTTAATGACTACCCCACCCTCGTATGTCAATATAACGTGTTATAGAGAGTGTTATGGGTTATATTGCCCTGTTGAAAGGTGGTGTGTACCAGAGATTCTTATTGTAAAAGAGTAGCTTCTTTTTGAACTGATTGGTATAAAAATTTATTTGTTGCCAGTTTAATGTAGTTGTTCACTATTACAATTTAAGTAAATTTGCTCTTGATAGAATTAGAATAACTAGACTGCCATTATTTTTTTAGAGTTAGAGATGTTTATTGCTTTGGACTTGGTCATCTGTTGTGTTGTTGTTATATTTCATTCATATGACCTATGAATAGAACATAGAACAGCATGTTATATCATTATACAATACCATCTACAATTTTTAACTCTGATTAATTTCCAATTTGTTTTTCTTTTAAAAGAAAGAAACCTCAAAAACTTTCAAAAATTTCCTGATCATTGTGTCCTTTTGTAATCAATACTATATATCCACTTTTGCTTTTAAGTGTCAAATATTAGGTTTCATTGACAAAATTTAAGAGGCATTTATTTCTTGTATACAGGCCTAGTATTTTGATAATCATTTCAGAAATAATATTTGAATATTTGACATCATATTTCAAAAACCACTAATATGAAGTAATCTGACTTTTTAATATTTATATATATTCAATGTACCGGTACCGGGTGGTTGTGATCATGTGAAATTATATTTATCTAGCGAGGAAACTATGAAATTATGACATGCTACTATTGTTCTGAATAATATATAAAGTCATAACACTCCATCTTATTTTATTTGAACACTTAAATAGTTTCATGTTTTTTTATATTCTGTGTTTGAAATGCATCTCATGTTTAGAGGTCATATGACAGTCAAGGAGTACTGAGTACATTATTTCATTTTTCAGTACAAGTAGAATGAATCGAGGGAAGCCAACTATTGGTACTGGGATGATCCGTCATAATAAAATAAAAACCATCACCCAGGGATTATATTGTAACTATAGTAACAGAAATTGTCAACAAAAAAGACTTGAAGGGTTTGAATTTTGTATTCGCCATATTTTAGAAGATAAAAGTGCTCCCTTTAAACAGTGTAACTATGTGGCTGGCAAGAAAAGTGAGCGTTGTCAAAATGGCGTGCCAAAGGGGGATAGAAAAGATGGGTAAGGCTGTTTATTTTTTTAATTGAATAAATTGATCTAAAATATTTTTAGTTAAATGTTTAGTCGTAGATGAATAATAACTGATAGTTTTACATTTAAAGGAAATGTTTGTGTACAAAACCTTTGAGGTTAATATTTATTGAGTAATGAGTATTATGTGTGCACACGGAAATGGATGATCCTTGCAAGTTTTCAACATGGTTATGTTATTTGGTTCATTCAAGCTTCAATTTGCCCATGACTTATATGTTATTGGAACATCAACAGTAAAGATAAGCAAACAAGCCTTATATTAGGGAAATGAAAGTTTCATCAAGGTCAACTAGTCTGATGAATTGGATTTTTTTTTAGATCTTATGAAATAATTTCCACAATAGTGACAATACTACACAACTCTTCAGTGTTTAGATCATTCAGGCCATTAGTACTGAAACTACTGATTCAGCTTTTCTATTTGATATCTCATCTAATGTTATTGACATGTTTTGGATTTTAAGTGCATTATTAGGATACCGGTATGCTGTAGAGAAATAAACTTTCAAAAAAAATGTAAACACAGTAGATCCTAGACAATTGGATTGTATTTGCCTACTTATATTCATTAGATTAAATTTTGTGGCTAACTTTATTGACTAAGTGAACATTTTGATAAAAACTTGAGTTAAAAATGATGCTGAGATCACAAAAACGTTTGAAGGACTTAAACAGGTTGGGTTTTTCCAGAAAATAAATAGTTTTTACAGTATGATCAACTAGTTGAATTATATTGAAATTTGTTCAACTAATACTAAATTTACTTTATGGTTATCTGTCTTCTTCTTTTTCAACTTTGATATTTGAATAATGATATAAGGTGTTATGTCAATGAAATTGAATTCAAGTTTGATAATTTTTGTTACTGACATTACATTGACTTGCTAACTGGTTTCAGATATTGTGTAGAACATACTAGAAAAGTGAATTTTGCCAGACAAAAGAAATTACTTCAACCTCGGCCAGCAGATACACCTGAATCTCTGCTTCAAGAGCTTACTATATCATGTACGACAGGTGATGCTATTATAAAATCTACTGGTAAATCCAGACTACCACCAGATAGTATTGCCAGTAAAGTATTAGGTAAGATTAATATTTACTAGCATTATAATATAAAGACCTTTATGCACTCTCATTTTAATACAGGACATATGTGCTCCAAATATTGTGTTGTACACAGCCCATTTACTAATGTAGAGATGATATTGGTGCTTTACAATCGTGCCATATTTACATATTACTGCTAGCTGGGCAAGTTTACTGAGATCTTCATAAGCCTTATCTAGAGCAGAATAGTAGGACATATCAATTTGTATAGGTTAAATAAGGCAACATTAATATTAATAAGATTTATAGATTAAAGATGGGCTTCCTTATTTTCATTTATGAAAATGAAAATGCTAATACTTATATGAATAGATAGTAGAGGTGTTCTAATGACTTGTAAAAATACCAGTTTGTCTCACATGTCCATAATTAATAAATAATTAGCTAAATTACCAGCATAATTCCATGAGTGACCGATCAAGAAAGGTCAAAAAGTCTTTTTTTTTGTTTATCCAGACTGTACTTACAAGGACATGTACGATTAGTGAAAACTTTCAATTATACGCAATAAGAAGATAATGATATGATTAAGAATACACAAATACACCAATTAATCAAATAGCTTGCTTAATTTTACACTTTGTAAAGTTCAGTCATTAGAATAAGTTACAGTTTTATATTTTTATTTTGTATTACATTTGTTTTTCATCATAGATTATGCTAGTAGTGACGACTCTGATGATGGTCCAGCATTAATAGAAGATAGTTGGTATGGTGATGTTGATAGTGATGCTGAGAGTATTGATAGTGAACAAGAAGATCTTCTCAAGTAGGCTATGTCAATTGTTTTACTGTGGGTCATCTGGCCACGTATTCTCGAAGCCATCTTAGGATGTCCTAGATTCAGTGTTAGAAGATAAGAACCTAGGACCTTCTAGCACTAAGATGGTTTCTAGTATACATGTCCTGGTCTTGTCTTAGTTTTAGAAATAATTCAATGTCATGGACAAGAATCAAAAGGAGGGCTTGAGTAGACCAGAATAACAGAACTTTGTTTGGTTTGAGACAAGCGAAACTTTAATGAATTGTAATTTTCAGACATGCAGGTGTGTATACTGCTGAAGAAGTGACCCTCATGTTACGAGATAAGTTAATACGTCTGCAATCACTGTACATAGAACAATTTAAGCGTCTTCAACATCAGATGAAGGAAAAACGGCGTCAATATTTACATGATAAAAAACTTGAAAGAGAAAGTGGTGGTATTGGTGAGTTGTTATTAATTTGCTTCAGCTTGTAATTTAAATAAAATGTCTGTTAGGGGCAGATTCTTGATAGCATTACCCGTGTTGAATAACAAACCAATATATTGACACAATATACACGTACCATCAAGAGGTTTACCAGTTTGTTAAATGGACCCGGTTGTATAGAAGAATCACAATTGCAAACCACTTAAGTCTCGATAGATGTTTTGATTTTTTTCCAGTAAGTGTACAAGCATATAAAGAAGACCCATACCTTCGTAAAAAGTATAATAAACTAAAAGCTTATAGAAGATATCACAACAGATATGGAAGGGTAATATTTTTATTATGTTTATCTTGCTGGTAATGTTATTATATACATCTAATATTAATCATAATGTAATTGAAAATATAAAATATTGTAGATCTTATGTAGATAAAATTTGTAATGAGGCAGGGGTATACTCAATCTTCATAACATTTGATGCGACTCTTCAGTAGTGCTTAGCAATTTGGCATCCCTCTTGGCGAGTTCAAATAGCCAAGAGTCTAGGCGATATCTTTTTTTTCACTTGTAGAATTCATAATGCATTGCTAGTATGATAGTGTCATGTTGTTACTGTTTTGCAGTCTTATGTTTTCATGGTGTCACTGTTTTGTTTTCATGTCATTTCTCCATATGATTTCAGGAAGCTATATTACATAGAAAATCAAATGAACGCAGACAACAAATATCAGAAGGTGTCAACTACAAACCCCCATATTATCCTAAATGTCATGCTACAGATAGTGGGGTGAAATGTACCACACGCTCAGTGCCTTTATCTAAATATTGCATGAAACGTATCCTTTAAACATACTGACCATAAAAACTAGCTATTGGACTCTGAGGCTTAAGGCAACAATTTATAGGCGGGTGTGTACATCTCAAGATTATACAGCACTTAAACTACATCTATACCACCTTAAAATGTATGAACAGTTTATGTTTTAAAAATTGTTATGTGCACTTTTGTTGTATTTGCACACAAGGGTCTTTGCACTAGTCAGTTTTAAACAGGACTCTCTTTCATGTTATATTTCTACAAACCTTAACAGAAACTACAAGATATATTGAAAGATCACCAACAAGTTCTGTTTCAACCATGTAGTTTTGCGAATGGACAGTGTGGGAAACCAGTAGTTACACATGAAGATAATCCAAGATGTCCGCTTCATTATACTCCAATAGATGAAAATTGTTCTAGGTCTCGTCAGGTAAAAGATTTATTCTTGTCATTATACAAAGTCAAAATTAAGTTCATAGTCAATCAGTCAGTTGTTAGACCAGTACAAGTGCTTGGTCATTTCTAAGTAGCGAAGATTTGGTTCAACTAAATAAACCCAGTGTTATCACTCAGCATCAGGGTATCGAAACACATCAATCATCAACTATTAACAAGCCAATGAACTGATGATATCTCATTAATTACTTGTCAAAAATGAAATACATATTATACAGTTGAAGTGGAGAACTATTTACATCTAATCTTATTGTATGTTTCAGAATTCGGTGTATGAAGGTTTAGATCAAGCTGATACTAGTACAGACAGTACACTGAGTGCAGCTGGGGAGCTGGATAGAACAGAAGTATTGATACAAGATACTGGTATAGTGGAGGGTCAGCTTGGGGGAGAAGAAATGGAGGCAGAATCCATGAATGTTTCATGATCATTTCAAGAAATGGATGCGACAAGTGTTCTGTCTAACAAAAAAACAAATGTGACTGAGTCTGGTGTAGTACAGCAAGTTTTAGATATGACAAATGCTCATATATTGCCATAATTAAGGACCTGTGTTTGTGTAGGAAAGGAGTGATCAAGTGTTCATCATAATAAGATAATTCCTGGCATGTTTTTCATTTCTGAATTACATTTTGTTGTTCGAATTTTGTTATTTCTTTGATAAAGCTTCAAAACATTCATGACATTTTTTTGTTTTTACTACACTTGCCACTGACAGGAAAAACCATCTCAATTTACACAAAAATTGCCTAGGCTATTGCCATTGAGCCAAAACATTATTATATTTGAGCTTAGCCACCACAGTGCATGTTGTGGTTGTCACCTTTACAAAACACCTGACACCTAACTCTTTATATGTTTCGAGTCCACATAGCTGATGTGGTTATTTGGTATATTTTTTGTAAGAAATAGTCAATAACAAGTGATCTTTAATATGATAAACAATATTTACAACTATTTACATTTCCCCTATAGCAGATTGTACAATATTCCAGATGAATATCAACCAAATTGATCCTTTTAAAACGGAAACTGCATACATGATTACTTCTCAACAAACAGCTTTTCAATTTCAATATTAACAAATCATGGAAGTTAACAATTACCCAGCATAAGTTATAACATTAACTAACAAGTTCTTCTTATTCATAATCAAATTCTTATTCATAATCATTCAGCTTCAAAATAGTATTGGTAATCTTAGAATGACTTTGATTAAATACAAGTATATCAGTACTGTTTTAAGCTGATATTGAACTAGATTCAAGAATGTGGGAAGACAGTTTCTGAGAATTTTAACAATATTGTTGAAGAATTTCTGCTAGCACCTGATTAACATCATAATAACGTAAATGTTCTGGAAACAGCCAAATGATTTCCTAATGTTTCACTTAATGAATATGATAATCTTCAATGAAAATTACAAAACTAGCTACAAGGCTTTTTCAAACTAAATTTCAGGAATTACTACTGGATTCCAATTGCTAATCTACCTATTGTTTACTTCAATAAATAAGCCAATTTTACCATAGAGTACCATAGATGTTTTGGAATTTTTAACAGTCCTGATTGATTCTCAAATTTTGTGAACATCAATAAATAAGAGTGATTAAACAAGTCAGGAGCTAGCTGCCAGTCTATCTAAAACTTGTCTATAAACTTCAACATGTTCCTCAAAACTCTTCTCTAAATATTCCAGTCGTTTTTCCTCTGTTGTATTCATTGTTTCGTCTAATTCTTGTGGATTTAAAGCTTTCTTTAATTTTTGGAAGTCTCGACGATTTTTCTACAAAAAGAAAAAGAATGGATTCTCTTAGTTGCTTTGAGTGGACATTCAGTCAAGTATACCATGAAATCATTTTTTCTGTACATTTTTGTGTATTTTTTGGGAGACTGGAATTCATGGATTAAACACCAGGAATTATGATTTCACAGAATAATGAGAATTGACCAATGGAAGCCATATTGCTTCAAATTGGACAGATAAATTTTAAAGATAAACATTATTTCAAAAAAAAAAAAAATCAAAAGAAAAAAAGGGGAAGATAACAGAAAGAAACTGCTGAAAAAGTAATAGAAAAAATAACTTTTTCAAAGAAAAGTTAAAAAAAAAAAAAAAAAAAAAAAAGAGCAGAAAGATACCAAATTATCTTCATGTATTAGTTTGTGGTTTTCTAGAAGTAAGATACAGAGAAAGAAGAAAGATAGATAAGAGAGTAAAGATAGATATAAGAAAGTAGGAATAATATGCAACAAATCAAATTTTTTACAAAAAAAAGCATATGTATTACATAGAGAGAAAATATAAGAAAATAAAGCGATCTTTCATAAATATATTTTCATTCAACATAAGCTTACAATCTTTTGAATCTGAAATATTCATGTCATTCAAATATCAAGAAATAAATAAAATGCTTTTCGAGCTTTCAATGATTATAGATCAAAGTCATTTGGCTATAAGCAGAATTTCTACGAGATACTATGACTATGAATACTGTATTGTTTTCTTGATGCTTTAAGTCAATATAACTTACAGTAAAAGGGGAGTTGAGTCGACGTTTAACTTCTAATCTATAATCACGATACTGCTGTGTATTACTTCCATCTGTAGCTTTTAATCTTAATATTTCATATACTCTTCTAGCTTGACGCTATATTCAATGATGGCAAAGATCAATAAGTATATAGAATAAGACTCTTTTGAAATTACTTTGAATTTCCCATTTAATAGAAGAAAAGTATAGAATAGATTTATATTAAAAAGATTTATTTGCTGTCAGAAAAGGATACCCAAATAGTGTTATTAACACTGCTTTATCAAAACAGTTTTCACAATATGTTATGTCACTGTGGCATTCACCTTATGAACTTTCAAGCTTACTGGGCTGATGAGCATGAGACAACTTGACAGCTCATTGCAACAGACCTCTAATTGAAATAGACTCAAATCTAATTGGAGCTGCAAAGACAGTCTTGCCCTCACAGTTTTATAATGACATGAAGTAATAATGAATACTGTAAAATTTGTACCAACCCTGCTAAGTTTGAGTTTTTGTCTGGCAGCTTGTAACATTGCATCATTAAAACTGACACGAATATTATTGGGTTGAAATTCTCTTAATTTACACACATTTTTACAATCTACAAAATCTCGTAATCTCTGAAAGTTTTCTGAAGGGTCTTCAACTAAAATACAGAAAGCAAGATGTGATGTCTTCAACAAATATCTAAATTATTATTTTATAAATAGATCTATACATCCAAATACTTTTCATACTAAATGAACTAGGGCTAATGAAGACAAGCAACATCATCAATGTGCATTTTCAGAAAGAATACTAAAGTTATAAGGTGGAGATGACATCAATGAAATTTCGTTTGATTCTCAAACATATCAAATAAGATTTCGGACCTCAGATCTGTCTTTGTATTCACAGTTGAAACTTTATCTTGACTTTCTCTTAACAAATCTTTTAAACCCCTCTCCTGTTCATCTCATATGGGATATCAAATCTCATATATTTCCTTGTTATCTCACTCCCAGGTTTTTATTTATCATTATAATATGATATAATATGATGGTGTTTTTTAAACCCAGGGGAAGTTTGCTATCCTATACATAACACAATTGGGTGACAGTTGGATTTTAGTTTGCTAGACAATTAAGGTTGGCTTAAAACCCCTTCCACCAATCTTACCTGTTATATCCATAATATCATCTCTATCATAACATGTATTATAGAATGTCTGTAATAACTCGGCACCATGACCTTGACGTTGGAATGGTGGTAATATTAGAACTTGACTGTAATAATAAGTAATGACACAACATATCTCATTAAATGGCTGAGAAATGGTATAATAACGTACTTCATTACTTCTTCATCTCATGTTTTCGGCCCTATATTATCTTAGATTTAACTTCCTGATAAGTTTTAAGTTTAATAAGTACTTGTTCTTATAGCCTACTACACAACACAATAACACTCCTGTTGTAACATAATAAATTAATAATTAAATATAAGCACTTTGCCAGTTATTAAGAATATTCTATTCATATAACCTATCCTGATAGTCGTGTTTATTGAGATATATCATATTAATACTCACCTAATTCTTGGTCGGGTTTTATTAGGATAAGCATAATAATTATAAATGGTCATATAGCCTGCAATAGCATACATAGTTTCTCCATTATTTCTATACTTCTCAAACCTACAACATAATATGATAAGCAGTCAATTTTAATTCATTTTTTCAGTTTAAAGACATTTTAAAGAGGTTTTCTTAAGTTTTTATGTGTATCTGGAATACTGATAACATCTATTTGCACTGTGTTTCTTGCAATTGCTTTAAAAGTAAACATTTGATGTTGTAACTTATAACAAAACTGCTTATATTAAATAAGGTCTTTACCATGGTGATGTCATCAAAAACTTATTTTTAGTGGAATGAGTTCTATCTTTCATCATAAATGTCACCCTCTCTAATACCAAATGAAACATTGAATTGAAAACCCTATGTCATGCATTTAAGTATTTTAATGCAATGATTAACAAAATGGTGAATAACTGGACACTCTAATAGTAAGATTACTTACACTAAAAAATAATTCCATCTATCATCATCCACATCAATATAACTGGCAGCATCAATGAAAAATAATAGAAATGTCTGTAACCTGCTATGGTAGTCTCGGAATCCTGGGACATCTATATCAGTTTTATAAACTTCAAAATTCCGACTGCTTCCATCTGTAATACAATCATATCAAAGCTTAAATTATTTAATACAGCATCGGAAAAGAGCTCATCATATTCTGCTGTAACGTGTTTCTTTATAAGATATATAAGACAACTTGTTGGTTTTAATAACCATGGCATTATCTCTTAGTGGAATAGCTCAGTCGTAGCGAGTTGGATTGTCTTCTGTTAGGTGATAAGTTATCCTCCTCAAGGTAAGAAAAATTCTCAAGCCTGTGCCAGTGCTTCCAACAATAAACCCAGTGTCAGCTTACACCCCCTAATAACCTTTAATAACAGAATAATTACAACATGAAGAAAATAATGTACCTGTCTTGACTTTATACGAGTGTAACATTTCACCAAATGGCTTAAAATTAACTTCTTTGGGAAGAGTTGCAAGAAAATCATCGAGATTTGTGTAGTAACCTGGTGGAATCTCTTGAGCTAATTTTGGCAACACTTCATCAGGCTGGAATAATAGAATCAGCGATTGTCAATAACTAATTTCAAATTATATAATCAAGTGAAGAAAGTAAATATTTCAATTTTCCATATTTGTCACAAATCGGCGTATGACAAATGTTGCATTTAGAAAGATATTTGAAGCACAATCTCTTTGAAAAACATGTGCCTAAAGATGCTGAAAAACTTTGCTGTTAAACTTACCACCAGGCCATCAAATCTTTTAGGTGTAACTTTGTCTATGTATGACATACTAAGATATGTGTTTAACTTGGCAGCTGTATAATACATCTTGACTTCAAGATCTTTATATCCAAATATACTCTCTCTAAAATTAATATTTCATATATCAAGAGTCATTGGCCTCTTTTCAAGAATTTTAGCGGGATAGGTAGGCATTTTTTTTGACCAATCATACTCTAGTCTCAGAAACTGGATTTTTTTTTTAGCAGAGCTAATTAGTAATAGTTTTCACAGCTCACTGTCGAAATTTGAGCCTCCAAATCCATGTGTGTCCAGAATTATCTGTGTTTAAGATTTTAAGATACTCTGTGATATATAGAAAAGACATATATAATAGTGAGTAACATTCCTAGTTTGAAGTATTTTTAAAGGTATTTTGTGATTTTCGTACATTTCTAGTACTTCTGAAAATCACCCCCCCAAAATGGCACACCTTTCCCTTTAATAATGAAGCATAAAACGATAAACTATGACATGGAATAAAATAGAGTAAGCTGCAAGTCAAAAATTTGTGTAAGATACAGACGTGTCTTCTCAGCGCGTCACTTACTGTTCTCCAAAGACTTGATGTGTCATATCTGGTTTAAATGATTTATCGTAATCTTCAACATCATTTTCATCTCGCACTGAAATATAAAACAAATAAAACATAGAAATATGTCTAGAAAGGAATTTCACAATATCTTTATCTTTTTTTTTAAAGAATTATTAAATGATTTAAAGAGGTGAAAATGTGTACCAAGTCATTCCATCAAAATGCTGGGAATAGAGCCCAAATAATAAAAAATTTAGTCGTTCATTGCCATTCGAAACATAGGCTAATGTAAATGTTCAAGTAAAAATTAAATCCACAAACCCAATTTAAAATGTATGACATCATTGGCATTTAATTTGAACTCTTCCAGTTTATTCTTTAACAAACTTGAACCTGAAATTAGAAGTGTTTGTGATTGGTTTAATCCTCTCTGATTACTGTCATTTTACTTGGCATTAGCAATATTTCACCAACTGAACTAGTAAGACATATAGGGTAGGCCTATTAGATCTATTATTAAGAGTTTCTTCCGTTTGTTGCATGTAAATGGTTTGTCAGGTATCTTTTACATTAGGATTAGGGAAATATGGCAATATGTCTCTGTGTGTGGATACAAATATTCTTCAATATCGGGTCTATCTTGTATTGTTATCAACATGAATCATGACCATGATTTTTTACTTGTTGCAATGCGATGGAAGTGAACGAAGTTACAACTTTAGATTACAGGGCATAATCTTCGCAAGTTATGAGCTGACAGGGACAAATTAAATATAAGATCTGAAAATCAAACTCCAGGTCCATTAGAAATAAGTAAAAGTCGAATTAGGTATGTATTAGGAGGGGAATTTGGTCGAAAACTTGAAATATTTGGCGACAAAGTATTCTTACCCGCCATTTTGCTTCCCGCGAGACAAACGATTTTTGACCTACGGTATTTACATCCGGTTCAAATTGCACGTGATGCTAAAAATAGCATCCAATAAACGTCGAGGTTCCACGTGAACGACCTTGACCTTGAGTGAATAACATGGCGGTTAATGGCACGGTATGACTACATTTCTCCAAGAATAACAGTAAAAACTAATCATGTGCATGAAAATTGTGTGATAGCATCACTTATAAATGTTTTTATTTTATGTCCTTTTCTTTTTCATTTGCATTACAGGACAGCCGACGTGAAATTATTTCCAAAATATGGCCATTTCTCAAGAAAGGTGACTGTGAGGCAGCTAGAAAGGTTAGGTGAATGACAATGTTTCATAAATTTTTGCCAAAGAAAGTAGATTTAGACAGAATTTGTGCTAGAAATTATATGAACATGTTCGAGTAGAATAGTAAATAACATCTCTGATAGTACAAGAATCACACATTAAGCATTGTAATTGATTGTCTTTGAACTTGATATGATGAAAATAGTAAAGTTAAGCTTATTTGGCTTGGCCTTGAAGCAGGAGTGTTTATGAATTAGGCCGCTATAACAGAAAATATTGGACTCTTGCCAATTCTGGGTTCACTTCATGCCTTTTGATTATAATAATAATGGAGCCTCTCAAGAGGAAGGGGATTTTTGAATAATATGCGTAAAATCAGTCGTCAGTATTTTTGAATAATAATTTTAGAATAAGATTGGATATATCTAGAAAAGATCATCTTAATGTGAATGGATGTATCGGCTGTATTGGTAAAGTAATTTGGTTTTCTAGCTATACTGTGTAATTGAAGCTGGTAGATTCAAGAGCTAATTAAAATTAGAATTAGGCAACATTAAACTATATTATATTACAAGATTAGATATTATATCACCAGCTTCTGTTTAGGATTAAATATTTATCAGCTTCTGTTTATTATCTGATCATTAACATGATTGAAGAGCAGATACGTCTGAGATGTGGCTTCATTGCTTTATTACCTTTGGTTAATGTCAAAGATCTACTTTCAATTTAACTGGGACTACACTTTATGTATTCAAATTGTGGGTTTAATTTACTCTTCAATAAGGCTTTATTAGAACTTTTAGAAGGCAACTAGGGAAGGGCTACCATAGAATACTTGTAAACAATAAAATAGGGAATATGAATTAATTGCTTTTGTAATTTTTAGACTTTTCTTTCACTGACAAGTAAGAGCAGGCCAGAGAATTTCATTTGGATTTTTTGAAAATTCATTGATTTATTTTGCATTAACAATTGAATTTATGTAACTAGGTCTGTCTACTTGGTTGACCCCAAATCACCATGTCAATGACCTATCATTTTTATAGTAGATTAACAGCAAATAAACCATACTTATTATTAACCGCACCTTTTACAATTTTTCAGTTGACCAATTTTTGTAAATGTCATGGTATATCATTTTTGAAGTCATGCTTGACACGAGAAATTAAAATTTTATTGATCGAACATAAAACAGAGTTGAAAAAGCACAAGCTAGATAGGGGTTGAAAGACAACACCCTCTGACTTCCAGAAGTACTGGCAGAGAAGCACCGGCAGTGACATCATAATTTTGATTATAAGAAACTTATATCTCTTAGAACTGAGCTAAAAATTGGGACAACATATATAAACTTTCTTGTTTTATCTGATCAAAAATATCAAAAGTTTGATTATGAACTTATTTAGTGAAAATCAATAAATTTTACTTATTTGGTGTCCAAGAAAACTCATAAATCTGACGAGTCCATCTTTAATAGGAAATTATGACAGTTCTGACAATATTTATGTACAAATGATTGATAGATAAGGTTTATCAGATGCCATACTGGTCTTAGATCTTTATTAAGGGATGTTATCATCTAAATATTTACTTGTAGACATCAATTTCAGCTGATTAAAAAGATATTTGGAAGAATATATCCCTGTTAGAATTTTCTTTAATAAGATAATGCTATCTTGACAAGATCATTAAAAGTCTTAGAAGTCTGAGATCTTTATTAAAGAATGTTGTCATCTAAATATTTTCTCTTAGACCAGGACCCCCTATACTTTCAGCCAGGCCAAGTTTAAGCTGGTCAGGCAAATATTTAAATGATTATCATTCCTTTATCGAACTGGTACCTTTCAAGGCTTTATGATTTGATTTTTAAATATGATAAAATTACAATTTTGTCCTCGAATCAAAGATAAATGTTATCTTATCACGATCTATCCAGTTGTCTTAAACTAGTTATGATAGTTATATGATATGGTAGTTAGTGAATAAATTAAAATTCCTATGACTAGTCACATATTTGGTTTCCACACTATGGTAAAGTCGTTATTTTTTTTATCTCTTCACTTCTGATATACAAATGTCTGTGATTTGAATTTTTAAAAAGGTTATCATTTGACTTGATTGACTTTGAGTTGAAATTGCATAATTTATAATGTACGTATTTAGATTGATAATAATAAAGTTTAGAGGGTGGGGTGATGTAGTTGTCATCTTTTCCTTGTATTATTTTTGTTCAGTTGGAGAAGACCCAGGGTTAAAGTTTTTGATAGTGGCAGAATTAAGTGGTGTTTTACCAGCAGTTGGTTTATCATTTGAATAATTTTCATTTATTTGTGGAAGCTTGGTATTTGATCTAAACATTTGTTTTTGCAGATAATAGAGCTCAAGTGTTTGACATTTTTTTCTAAATATTCAGACAGACAGACACTTAATATTTCCTGACGCTAAAGCTGTTTAACATTTAGGTTATTGATTTGTTCAGTGAATAGATTATGGTGCAGTATTATATTGTGTGATTATTGACTATTAGATTGACAATGTTACTGCTAGCTTTTATGTAAGATTGATTATTAGAAATCTAACATGACTGTTAGTACAAAATGATCAGGTTGTTAATTAATAGAAAATGAAATGAACAAATGAAAATTAGTGTTTGATGGCAAGGATAATCTTGGACTTACCAAGTTCAAGAAACAAAAACAAATGTCTGTAGAGACATTGAATAAGTTTCTTTCTTCATAAATGACTATTCCAGTCAACACATCCTTAAATGGATTAACAAGGGAAGATCGATTTCAAGACTTGGAGGAATTAGTCTTAGACAGGATCCCTGGTAATCTAAATTGCTTGTCTTAAAATAGATAAAACATTTTCAAAGACAAGCAACAGTCAGCAAAATTTGAAAATTATTTTAAAGATTTGTCATATCTTGATAGCTAAACATGAATGAACATTTCTGGTCTTGTTGCTATGAACATCACATCATTCAATGGTTATTTGATTTAAACCATGGCTTAAAATGAGTGTACACACTGTACAAATATGGTAGTAAAACTTCTGAATGAAATGCTGACAGGTCATTCAAGGTCACTGATTATGAAATTGGTGTAAGTTGTGATAAGGACATCAAGGTCACCAATAAAGGTTAAATCATAGTACATAGTATATTACATTTACTAGGTCATGTTGGGACAGTCATTCAAATTTCTTATCAAATTATCTTAAAGGGACAGATGCAGCATTTGGCCTTGATTACATGTAAATAGTTTTCAAAACTACTTAAACTGATGAAAATCGCACAATTCCTTCAAATAGACCTCAAACAAGAAATTAAACTTCCCATTTATTTTGGAAGAGTTTAATACCTTGATGATATAGTCTCTGACACCAAGACATATTCACAGCTGTGCGTGGACTGAGAGGGGCAGGATGATTGTGTCTATTGTATACTCATGACGTCATGAAGGGATATTCAAAACAGAAAGTCTTTTAAAATGACGACTCAATAAAATGACTATCAAACATATATAATTGTGAAAGGTATGATTTAATCCCAGAAATGCTGCATCTGTCCCTTTAAGTCTTAGTCACATAGGAAAAGTACTGAAGCTGAAGTTTGATAACAAAAAATCAAGAATTTGAATTTGAATTTTTTTTAGATTTAAAGTGACACTCATATGATAAGACTGCACTTTTGGCTGTAATGCCCTTTATTTATAGAAATAGAGATGTTATTTGAAGGTCATTCAGATTTTACTACAGGAAATTGTCAGGTACCTACATCAATGAAGAAAGCATGATTTATTAAACGACAGGTGTTTCTGGAATAAAACCATTCAAACACTAATATTCATAATATTGAGCTTAGTCACTATAAGCATAGACACATGTTACATGTTGAAGAAGGAGGGAACTTGTTGTCAAAAATTAGGAAAACAAAAAATATTTTATAAGGATAAAAGAGAATTTTCGTTCTTGAAGATAATGTCTACAAATATTTGTGGATACTTGACCAAACCTTGTAGCATTGATTATTTGAGGGTTTTCAGTATCTTTTTTGGCATTGTTCCCTCTTATTCAGCTTCTTTTTCATTCCAAAATATATGCTGTCTCTTGGCCATATCTACTGACTGACATATGATGTACAGGCTTTTTCATTCAACTGTAGGCTTATGTCACTTTGCCTGTCTATCTATTACTTTCTTCATAGTTGTCTGTAAAAACTCATGCCATTTCTCTTTTCATAACTGGCTCATTATAGTTGTGATAAATTATTTTTGCACAATTCTTCATCTAATGCTTTCTGCATGGCTTATTTTGATGTTGATTTAGTTGAATAAATTTGTATTTATAAATACATGTATGTGCATTTTACTTTTGTTCAAATAATAGGTTAAATTCTATTCTGAATATAGCCAGAAATACAGCAGTGAAGGGCTCTAGATATATATAATAACCATCTTTTGGTTTTTTGATATAAAATGTAAAATATATACAAGACTGCTTTTAATACTTGTGATACTTTAGAACTGAAACTAACTGAAAATAGTTTGGATTGTTTGATTCTATATTTTGAATAGTATCTGGATGTGCATTTAAAGGGGCAGTATGCAAAATTTTTATTATCAAAAACATTAAAAGTTAAACTATCAAACTTAAGGGACACGTTTCTCTAGATTTCGGTGTATATTTTTCATAAATATGAGCAAAAAACTTTCAACTTCTTTAACTCAGAATGTCCCCTGAAGAATCTTAAGTGTTGGAGAAATTGTCAAACAATACCTTGTGTTACATAATGATTGAAAGGCTACAGGCCTGTTTGAAAACAAGATGTGCCCTTACATGTCAATATTACTATTTCGAGTAGGTAAACAGATATTTAATAGTTAAATTCTAGTGACCTTGGTTCAGATATTAATCTTTGTTATTCAATGTTGCACTAAAGTAAAATGGGACAAAAAAAAAACCTTCAATTCACTTCAGTCTCTCATGATCCACTTGTGAAATACAATATATGTTAATTTGTTCTTGAGACCTTGTAATGATGATAAAACATACACTAGGTGTGTGATAATGCACATGAAATCAAATCCCTGTATGTTTCACAGTCAGGAAGCATGTAGCTTCTATTCTGCTATATTGCCCCTCCGTCTTAAGTGAATCCAAAAAAAAAACACAACCAGATTATGTCACTATTGCAAAAACCATTTAGTTTGAAGAAATCAAAATCTGTAGAGAAATCAGTGTTGTGCATACAAAAATTATTAGTGTCTTTAAATAACTTATCAAATAAAACAAAACAAAAGAATCTTTATATAATCCCTTTAAATAAGCTATATTGTCATTATGCATGCATTAAATTTGATTGTTATTATTTGATTCATTACACATATAATATATAATACATAAAGATATTTGTGGGAAATTCCCTTCAATTGAACAAAGTTACAATGACTTATTGATTCAATTTGTTAGGTTTAAAAAAATATCTTACAATTGGCTGGATATAAACAATGCCTGAATTGTCTGTAGTGCAAATGTTAATTATTATGGTTTATGTTTCATCAGTCGAGTGCACAATGATATATATCATTAATTTTTTTTATAAACTATATTTTTTTCTGACAAGAATTCGGGAACAATCTCTCAATAGTCAATAATATCATTAAACGTTACAGTTCTATTAATAGTTTGGTGATAGTTGAAAGCCCTATAAATGTTAAACATAATGAAACCTACTGATGTAGTTTATATATAAATTATTTCTTAAAAAATTCATTTAACCTTTTATGTTCAGAGTCTCATTCATTCTATGCAGTTAACATGTTTCAGATATTATATACTGACATTAGGACAAATAAATTATATATTAGGGGTTAACTTATGAATTTAGGATATTGGTATTAGGCATTATTTTCACATTAAGCACATTTTTTAGGGTCAACATTTTTCTGCTTACTGCTCACTTTAACAAAAACTCATATCATTTATCAAGCTAGTTTTAATCATGAATAAAATATCAATGTCTCCAAATGTTTATGTGCTTAGGAATTCAGTAACAGATTTTCAATTAGAATTGTCTAGACCTATTTAAATTTCTCTCTTACAATTTTCTAGGCAGAAGTGTCATGGCGTGCCAACACTCAAGATCTTCGAGAAATCTTTCAAAAGGTAAGTACAGAATTATTGATTGGAAAAAGTCTGTTACAGATAAAAGTGAGTAATTCTCTGTCTTGACTTGACAAACAACCTCTTTTTACCATTACATTAGAGGCTAGTCTACCAGCAATATAGTTTTGTGATTGAGAATATTAAAACAGAATCATGTTGTTACTCTGAGTTTCACGCTATGCAATCCTTAGTTATGTGATTTATACCTGAGAAGCCAATGAAGCGGCCATAACATCCTGTAGACACTAAGGGCCGTATGCAGCGCACTTATCTTGACTAAAGTTAAATTTTGGCTAAAGTCGAACTTTACAAAGTTAGGATTAAGGCTTTCATTTTCTACATTTGATAGTCAAATTTAAGCACAACTTTCATAAAGATCAACTGGTGCATACCTAAAGTTTAGGTAAAGTACGAGTGCTGTATATGGCCCATAGAGTTAAAGTAAGCTTAAAGTAAAGTCATATTGCATTTACTGGGTATATGATATTTTTATTTTATTTACTCTTACTGTTTTAACTATTAATCTTTTCTTGGACATCATATCTGTCCTTCCTGTTAAACAGCTTTTTACATTGATGGTTAAATGCACATTCGATAACAGCTATTAACAACTGTCTATTACCAACTTCTGTTAAGAAAATATAAATGTTTATTTTTTTCCAGTATGCAAGCCATGAAGTCCGTGGCACAAAATATATGACCTATGCTGACCTAATCTGTAAATATTTACAACTGTTCAAAGCTGAAAATTGTAATGAGAATACTCTCAAGTTGTTAGGAAGCAGTGCGGATACAACACGAGATGGGTAGGTTCTGCTTTCTGTTATTCAATTAACTGCCTGAAATTATAATTTGACTTTCTTGAACACAGCAAAAGACAGCTTCACAATGTCAAGCTATTGCAAACTTCATCCTATACCTTGACTGCAATAGCCACAGATGTTTGTAAATGCAGCAATTTGATTGTCTTTCTGTCGAGGGCTAGGATTAGCTGCATTCTCTGGAATACAATCTAATCAAACGGTGTAAGAAAGGTAACTATTCCATTCTGGGTATAAGACGTAAGTTTGTAATAGCTTGACTGGAAAAAAACTACCCTAATATATTTCAGAATGTTTCAAAGTTGCATCAGGGTTCATTCAGATAGCAGTTGCATCTGTTAAGGTATCAGGTTTAATATGTTCTCTCATCGAAAGTTAAAAACTTGTCTGTATTTTTCTGTTTTCAGACTTATATCATTTGCAGAGTTCCAAGCATTTGAGGCGTTGCTATGCCTACCAGACAGTTTATATGCTTTGGCTTTTCAAGTATTTGATCAGCGTGGAAATGGTTACATAGACTGTGGTATGTAATCCCATCTATTCTTGACAATTGACAATTCAATGACAAATTTCAGACTGAAGAAAACGACTTAAATTATAATTGTCCAAAAAAATTATGCTGAATGGCAAAGCAACTCAGTACCCTTTTTGGGGTAATTACTCCAAGGTTGAAAACTACTGTTCTAGTGGAATATAATTTCTGTTCATAAGAAAGTATTGTATCTTTTGAGAAGGGATCAGGGTGACCTTGAGACTTGAGAGTTACTGGATTATGCTTTGAATTGCCAGACCATTTGACTTTGAGACCAGCGTGTGATATATCATGATTTTGATTGTTAATTTTACTGTGTCAAGTTTTGTCAAATATCTGCCATCTTCTTTTTCAGAGGAGTTTGAATCTATAATTAAACATTCAACATTAAACAGCAAAATGCCCTTCAATTTCGACTCAGATTTTATCCGTCTGCATTTTGGTAAAGATAAGAAGCGTAAAATATCATATAATGAATTTACGCAATTACTTCATGTAAGTATTGATGTGACTTGACGTGAATAAACTGATCAGTAATACACAATAGAGATTTTACGCTAGAAACCAACTCATGTCAGCTATCTTATGCTTCATATAGCTATTAGAAAATACAGTTGTCCTACTTTCACACAATTAGCAGATATTGTGATTCTGGAGACCAGATTAAAATCGATAGGGCAAATTCCTTGTGCATAATACTGAAAACATTTTGTTTAGTCTATGCTTAGACATCCAAGTAAATTAGGCCTGCATTAGCTCTCTGGAGCATACAAATATGACTTAAAGTTTATGTATTTCATTCGCTGATAATTTATCATATTTTTGTATTGTAGGACTTTCATGAAGAGCATGCTCTCCAAGCGTTTCGTAGTTTTGATAAGAAAGATACAGGTTATATTACACCAACAGATTTTGAGTTTATCATATCAAATCTAAAGAGTCATCTGCTGACACCATTTGTGAGAGAAAACTTAGTTACGGTATGTCCTTATATGTTTATATTATATATTTATTTTCATTTATTGTGGACAAGATTTTGTCTCAAACCCTCTGACATATAACAAAACATCATATACTCTTGTAGAATTAAGTAATTTGACACCCTTGTAACTAAGCACTATACAACATGATTGTTTTAATTCAATAGTAGTTTATTGCTATCAAAATGTGTTGATGTAACATCATGGTCCATCATATTGTAATATTGTGGTCTTAAGATATCAAGTCTGCATTGAAAGTCATCTCCCTTGAAAGATAGATGTAGAGCCTTAAGTTGAGGTTTCCTTGTATATTTATAGCTTACAGCTTTCCAATTTTGCCCTTTTCATACTTGTTCTATATTTTATATTTTCAGATAGCATTAGGAGGTGAAACTCATAGATCAATAAGCTACGCATACTTCAATGCTTTTATATATTTATTAAATAATTTAGAATTAGTGAAAAAAATCTATTTATCAGCTACTCGAAGAGATGAACATAAAGAAATTACAAAAGGTCAGTCCACCATCTTACTTTTTCCCCTCTATTTTGTTATATTCTTTGCCTCAAGAAGTGCCCTTTCTTATAGACACTTATTCCTCCACCAATTACTTCAATTAGACTCATTGAAAGTATATTGGATTTTCAAAAAGGAGGTAATTGTCTAAAGTTATAATAGTAAGAATATTGGATCTGATGACATAAAACTTGTATTTGTATTACTCCAGCTAAAGCAAGATAGAAATTGTCAGAGATAGATGATGTAAAGAGTTGTGCTCCAGAAACTGAACGCCAATTTGTTTGAAACTAGAAATATGATGATGTGATGTTGTTTTTTTCAGAGGAGTTGTTATATCAGGCCCAGGAATTTGCTCAAATTACCCCGTTAGAAATTGATATTTTATTTCAACTCGTTGGTCTTTCACGTCAAACAGGGTAGGTATTTTATACACATTTTATTTACCAAATACATGTATTCTTATTTAAAAACCATGCTAAATAAATTCTTCATATTTTTGTGTATTTTTTTGTTATTATAGAAAAGTTGCCTATGCCGATATTGCCAATTTAACACCAATGGAAGGAAGAGAGACCCCTTTCTCCTTACAGATGCAAATAGCAGAGGTATTACATGTTATTGCGTTTATATTAAAGTTCATCAATTCTTCAGCAGAAAGAAAAATAATTATTTTATTTGAAAGCAAATTATAAATATCAAAATCAGCACTTCACAAGAACTATAAGATTTGATTCACAATTCACTAAAAGAAAATACAGTAAAATAGTGAAAATACAAATATGAAAATACATGCTTAATCATATTTATTTCAAATAGTGTTGCTCAGTGGCGGAGCCAAAGGGGAGGCAGAAGGGCAGCCAACTCCCACCACAGCCCTGAAAGCAAGTTTTTCGGGCAAAAACCTCATAACTAGGTTAAAGATTCAGACAATCTCAGATATCTCGCCCTCGCCCCCTCTCAGACGTAAACCTGGATCCGCCTCTGGTGTTGCTTTTATATTGTCTGATGCTAAGCACTGTGCTACATGGTCTATCGATCTGGCATCCATTTCAATGAATCCCTAAAATAATGAGGTTATCAAAGTTGCTGAAGACTATGTTATTATTAATCTATTTAAATTGTAGAACCACCTGTTATTAGAATCAGGTCAAAATAAAAGAACACCAGCTATGGCAATATTTGAATCTGCATATAGATTCACTCTGGGAGCATTTGCTGGTGGTAAGTCCATTATATTATTGTCATCGTCACTCATGGTTGTTGGTATTTCTATCAAATTATTTACTACTAACTGAATCATCAGAATGCTGTTTAATGATTAACTGTGTTGAAAGCTGACAGTGGGAACTAAGAAGCACTAGCAGTGGCATCAGAATATTTCGTACATTGAAGGAGATTGGCATCAAATCACTTAGCAGAAGACAATGCCACTTGCTACTGACTGAACTATTCCACTCCAGGGCTATAGTGTCCTTGTGTGATATCTTGAACAGTCCTTTTATGGATTGTTGAACATTTTGTGGACTCCCCGAAGGTAAATACAAGAATAATGTCATAATATATTTCCTATGATTTATTTTCAGCAACTGGAGCAACTGCTGTATATCCAATAGATTTGGTCAAAACTCGAATGCAGAATCAAAGGACAGGTTCTTATGTTGGTGAATTGATGTATAAGAATTCGATAGATTGTTTTAAGAAAGTTATTAGACATGAAGGTTTTTTTGGTTTATATCGTGGTTTGGCTCCACAGCTTGTTGGTGTAGCTCCAGAAAAGGCTATCAAATTAACTGTAAGTGAAAAACTTTTTATATTTACATAGTAGAAGCAACTTCTAAGTTTCTTGGTTCTTGTATTTACATTGTCAAATGACAGGATCATGATATTTGGATGTAATGAACCTAATTCTTATTTGAGTAACACAACTGATTATTTTTATAAGAGTTTCACTTGGTTTCACATCTATCTTCCAATCTATCATAAACACTTATATTCAAATCCTTAAACATGGTTTTATAGCATCTAGTTTGAGATAGTATTTGACTGATGCTGATGATAATGATTATTTGTATTTGTAGATGAATGATTTAATGAGAGATAAGCTAATGAATAAAGATGGCAGTATACCTCTGTGGGCTGAAATGGTGGCTGGAGGAACCGTAAGTATTCTCTATTTATTATAACATTAAATGTTTACAAGATCTTTCTTTCTCTATCTAGTGTTTGAAGACATGGTTGAGCAATTGATTGATTTGTACTGGTGATAAAGGCATCACATCTTTTCCAGATCTTTGTCACTTGATAATGGAATGTTTATTTCCCAATAATGATAACGAGATCTGCAGTCATTTTCTAAAGATTGTAATTTATTATTAATTAATGTGGAACTGAATCATTGACAGCTTCAAAATACTTAAAACTCTAGTATCTAAGGTCTTATCCTTTATTCTGTCTGTAAAGTTGGCATATATCTTGTGTTATTTCAGGCTGGCGGTTGTCAAGTTATATTTACCAACCCTCTAGAAATTGTTAAAATCCGTCTACAAGTAGCTGGTGAAATCGCATCACAAAGTCGTGTTAGTGCTATAAGTGTTATTAAAGATCTTGGATTCTTTGGTCTATATAAGGTGAGAATTAGTTATATTTGTTACTAGGAGCATATTCTCTTCTTTAGGGCATGTTGATATTAATACCACATTGAGGTGGGACTCTTTGTATTACCGTATATTTCCGAATATAATGCGCACCCGTGTATAATGCACACCCCTTTCTTTCCCCATTAAAATCGGGAAAAATCCATTTACCCGTGTATAATGCGCACCCGTCTTTACGAAAAATTTGAAATCAGACTTGGCACATCACAGACACCATTATCATCCCGTATATTTGACACAATATCATCTATAATATAATTTGTTTGTACAATTGAGTCGTTGGCCTATAGAGAATTGAGAAGTGATGACTAAAAGTGATGACATACTTTACAAGCTCTTTAGCTCTTTATATCTTCAAATCCTGAGTCTTCTGTGAATAAGGTAACTGTACTGTTAAAAAAGCCCAAATTGATCATTAAAGTGCCCAAAAAAAAAGATTTAAAACTTCCAATTGGATTTATTTAAATTGGTTAAAATACTATTCCATTTTAGGGATCTAAAGCCTGTTTTTTACGTGATATACCTTTTTCTGCTATTTATTTTCCTGCCTATGCACATAATAAAAAATTCTTTGCTGATGAAAATGGCTTCAATACACCTGGGACTTTATTACTGTCTGCTACACTTGCTGGTATGTTCAACTATTGTACTTATCTAGTATATTTAAGTATTATCTGAATTTTTCTTATGTTTGGAAAGTACAAATTTTGTGATCTATTTCTTTAATTGGTTTTTTTTGGTTTTTTATAATGTTAAGGACAGAGGTATAATTCTGTGTATAGCAAATTCGCTGTATGATTAGATTTTAAAGTCCGATCTTATGAAATAACTTCCGTATGGTGTGCCCAGTGCTTGTAAGATTTGTTTCTATTCTCCACCTATTTAACAGATAACCAGTACTATAATCAATTTGCTGACCAATGCTAAAAGTATCGTTTGTGCTGAACTGGTGGTACATATATTCCTTCTTAAATACATTTCTATCTTTAGCTTAAATGCATATATTTTTAATATGATTGCTTTATTACCAATCACTAAACTGGTACTGGCGTAGTCATCAAATCTCAAGTTTATTATCTTTCTTACAGGTATGCCTGCTGCATTTTTACCCACCCCTGCTGATGTGATTAAAACACGTCTACAGGTGGCTCAACGATCTGGCCAAACAACCTATAATGGAGTATTCGATTGTATTAAAAAAATCTGGCAAGAAGAAGGTGGTAAAGCTTTCTGGAAAGGAGCACCTGGTGAGTAAAGAATAATCATTACATGATAAAGCTGAAAAAAATTTCAATTACTTCTACTTTTGAGGATGTGCTGTGGCCCATTCAGTTAGAGTTTTAGAGTGGTGATACCATTAGTTACACCAAATAAATAGTGGTTGTCTGTGCGAATTAAGACAGTTTTCTCACTACTTCATTTGTTTTTTCAGCTCGTGTATTCAGGTCTTCCCCACAATTTGGTGTAACCTTATTAACATATGAATTACTACAGAGGTTGTTCTATGTAGATTTTGGTGGCAGGTTTGTTATTTTTTTTTTTCTTCATAATTAATTTCTGATTGATTGAGTTTTAAACACCGTTTCCCTTGTCAGGATTGATTGTCTAGGCTATGGTCTGTGAATGATTTCTAATTTCTGAAAAGGATTGATTAAATGGTACTGTCACGTGACAACAAGGGCAAGTAACTCCATCTGACTAGAATCATTGATTACAAATGAAGTAGTCTGCAGAAAGACCCAAGAAAAGAAACATACAGATCTGCCTTCTCATTAGATTTCATTTTTCCCTACTTCATTGCAGACGTCCACAAGGCTCTGAAGCTAAGTCAGTGCAGTTAGAAGAAATGTTGTCTCGGAACCCTGATCATGTAGGAGGCTATAGATTAGCACATGCAACATTTAATGGAATAGAATCTAAATTTGGACTGTGTTTACCACGATATAAATCACTTGTGTAATGTTGATTATTTTAGGTTGTTTTTTAATCTTGTTTTGTTGATGTGAATTTTAATAATTAATTAATTAAGGTATATTCATCAATCTTCCTATTGTTTAAAAATAATAACTGATTGGGTATCCTATGAACAAAATTGAATATATGAATAGAGGTTCAAGAATTCTTTTTATGGAAATCCATATAAATAAGTTAATTTTCAAATTATTTCTAAAATTTACAATATTTTTACAATTTATATACTCACAAATATAATAGAAAAAAAAAATTGTTTTGTATTTGAAATAATGATTACATTAAATTCAAAAAAAAATTTGAACAAAATGTGCTTATGAACAGCATAAAAAAAAACCTTTATTAAATATTTAATATTCAGAAGGTTGATAAATATGCCCAAAAGAAAATCACAATATTATTTATTAATTTCTTAATTAGATTTTAAAAAGGGTAACTTTTCAGAGAAGAAATATGCTGATTATATTTTTTTCAATGTGAAACTTTTGTCATCTTTCTTCGTGTTTTGAGCAGTCAAACCAAATCTAATCATGAAAATAACTGAATGATAATTGTGATAAATTATCCGTGAATACTCTAATATATCAGATTTTATTTTATGATTTATTTTGAATGATTTTAAACAACAAGGCGTGTGAACAAAATATTATATATTATGTAGTGTAAAAGTTTATATAGTTTAGCAGACGTCATGGCAGAAATACAGGGCAATATTATGCTTATTTGTGTATTTTACTTACTTTTAGTTTTGTTGGCCCCTTTTTTGAGGTGGAGAAAGAAATATAGTTATTTCTATTAATACAGAAATGTTCAGATAAGAACACCTTGCCCTCTTTTCTCAAAGATTTTTTTAGAAACAGTCTTGAAATATACTCAAATGTTGTTGACGTAGACAACTTTAGATTTCTGAGAATTCTTTGGACAAATCATCTGTCTTCACTGAAGGGTACAGATTTATTCAGTTGAGAGTAAAATACAGAAGTTTGCTTGATATTACCTTTATATTTTGTCTGAGCTGCAATTGCTCGTGAAATTCCCTCACTCCCTCCCTAACTAATCTAACTGTTTCTTGCACTAACAACTGTTGGTAGTATGTTTGTTTAACTTCAGCATTATTCACTGAAAGTTCTGTGTATATTTGACCATCAAGACTGTTCTATTACTAAAGTTATTGAAGGTGGTCAAGGAATCCCCTGACAGCACAAAGAGACCACTATTTAATTCAGAAACTGATAGAAGTTAGACTTGTGTGTTTTTGAAATATCCCAGTGGGCTTAGATAATTTTGCCTGACTATAGTTGTGATGAAGATCTCTCTGCCAGTTCTGCTAAATTTTTATTGTATTATATCCTGTGTGATATGTTGATAATACAAATTTTATTTTTAGGTTTTTTATTTCTTTTGCACAAGTTTATAGTCAAGCATAGATATTAATATACATCATGAAAAGATTCAAAATAGGAAATGAATCAATCCACTTTACTTTAAGGTAGTAAAGATGTATCGAACACATTTTAAGCTTGTATTGTGTCAATTACTGCCTATTCTACCTCTAATCTAAGTGCTCATGTTATATTTTGAATCCTCCACGATCTGCAGAAATATCTTTGCCTGGCTACAGTTGGGTGAAAGATAAGCAAGTAGCATTTTCTTAAGATTAGATAAAAAGTGATTCGCTAATGCCTCAATAAATCATTTTACTATAGTAGGTGAAATATTGTTGATTTAAAGGTTACCAGACTGTGTTATTTATAATATTAGTTAACATAATGTTTACTTATTTAACAATTCTGGTACAAAAAGACTCAATAATCTGGACTTGAGAATCATTACATAATTATGTAACAATAAATTATTTATTGATACACTTTACACCAGCCATCATCAAGCAAACATATATTTGAACATCCAGGTCCCATTCATAATATGAATATGTCTACAATTTTTGGGGGTAGAATAAATCAGAAGGTAGACTTATTATGTCTAACACTACCAAAATATAAAGTGGACTGTTTACCTTACCTGGATTTTTAAAAAGAAAGTCTGAACTGGTTAGTGAGGTATTTGGTATATAAAACCGTCTTTCACAATAGAGGACAATTATTCTAAACCTGTCTAATAATTTTGTCTACTTGTAATAATTATTCAGCATGGAGTGCTGGTCTATATGTATGTCGATATAATATTAGCATAATGACAATCAATTTTAATTTTAATAGAAGCATGTACTCTTTAAATACTCTATACAAGTCCTTACGAAGCGTTACATAACGTTTTTTTTTTTCGTACTGAACAATTTGCCATATCAATAAGCAAAATGTTATGTGAAAGCAAGTTTTATAAAAATGAACAAGCGAATGCGGGGCTGGATTACACACTTAACATGATTTCAAAGTAATTGGATTCAGTGATAATGTGTATGGTTCATAGGAAGGTAATTTTTTTAAGTGATGTTAGTTATGTTAAACGACTCAATTTAGGGTAAAATGTTGTTGACTTGTATACTTGTATACCCTTTATTAATACAGATGAACTCAATCTAATTAGAAATAAACAGAATCTCAAATTATCTCTCAAAATAATTAAATTAATTTGGTAATTTATTTAGGTATTGTAAAGATAAATATGCACATCCAAGTCAAATTTAAAACATAGTGGTCCAGTATATTATAGGTAGAATAAATAGTAATTGAAAGTTTCTATGTAAATTGCCTATGAAAATTATTGACTGTAATGTGCATGAATATCTTTGTTTGTTATACCAGAGGATCTGTATTCTTGATTGACAGTATTCTTTGAAGAGTTCCATGATGTGATCTACTGAACTCTTGGCTATTTTCTATTTGAATGCACGTATGATTTTGAGTTTCTAAGACATTACTGCACATGGGTAAAATTCAAAACACTATATTTTGAGGTAGGATAAATACATACATGTCTGGTTAATATATAGCATTAATTATTACTTATTCTACCTCATATCAAAATAGACTGCTCTTGTTTAGTTTTGAATAAGACCGCCATACTTTTGCTTAACTACACAACCACTCTAATAATAAGGTCAAAAGATAAGAAATGTGCCATGCTATCAAATAGTGCTTTTATATCCGAATTTGAACAATAGAAAAGATTCAAATTGTCATTCGGCAAAAAGATTTTCACCTTCAAAATGTTTTGTAACTCAAATATTAAGAATCTGCCAAATGAACGTTTGTAAGATATTGCAAAAGAAAAGATTAAAATGTACCATCTTCCTGATTGTTTTATCACCTACCAAGAATTGTCATGTGTACCAAATAGCATTAAAGATCTACTTCCGGGTCCCATTTGGAACACCTAATAGCATGTTGCTGTTGGCTTTTTAAGACAGTGTCTTTTGCCCTTTCAGAAATTCTAAAAACTAAGTCTTGTGGCTAGAGTTGTGAGGCAATGCCAGCCTGAAAATAATTCCATCACAGCAACTATTACTAAAAACCCTCCATTGCCCTTCCAGATATATTACATGTCGCTCCAAACAATCAAGTCTGGCTATGGGGCCTGTGTATATCAACTCTCAATTCAATGTCCCATTTGGCTATATAGGACAATTATTGCTAAAAAAATCTAAGCTAAATTGGTTCTGTGCTGAACTACACTCAACATTTCAACTTTTTCGTACTTTTAAGAGAATTTTAATAATAATTCGGTAGGAAGATTAATTTAATAATATTTGTATGATGTACAGTTTGTCAATATACATGATATTTGTGAGAAATATAGACTGATGTATTAATTGATCAGTATTCTCTGACCTCGGTTCCTTTGGCTTTACTCACGCTGCCAGTTTATATAGTTCATTGATTTGATTGTTTCACAGATTCCATTGCAATAGAATTCTACACACTGGGACAATACTAATAATTCATACAATATGATATATATAATCCTTGAATTATGTTAAGAAAAAGATTGAACATAAGAAAAAAACATTTTCATTGATATACTACTTCCTTTAATTTTAGACTTTTCAAGTCACATACTAGAATCTTCATCAAGCATAAACAATAACTTCATTATTCCTGTATTAGACTTGGAAACATTGCTGAAATTAAAGTAAAGTTGTATATCCATCAAAGTGTTCTTAAAGTTTTCAATAAGTGAATATCCTGAACATGTACTTATAATATAGTCTGTGAGTTTAAAATAAAATGTCTGTCACAGATCACTGCTTACTTTTACCTCATCAATTTGAGCTGGTAGAAAACATGAGCTTATTAGCAAACAGAATTGGTAAAAGGAATTATATATAGGTTTTTAAGAAACATTTCATGAGTGCAGCCCAGGAAAACTCTTTACAAGGCAAGACAGAGAAGCAGTTATATGAGAACAAGTTAATCTAAAGACCAGAAAGAAATAAATATTTCAAAACATAAGTTGCCCATACTCTTAATTCATTGCTGCTAAAGGGAATTTTGTAAGATTTTTAAATGGATATGGTTGTCTAAATGTTACCAACAGTAGCTGATGAATCTCAATTTTATCAAACTATTGCATTAATCAGAATTAAAATGCAAATCCTGTGATAAGATGATTCTATAAGTTATTACAAAGTATTTACAGAACTAATGATTGTTCTTCAATATACCCAACCATACCTAATATCATTATGATCCAATAACACTGAAATCTGTATCTTGATATTAATGACCCATTAAACACTGAAAATGTTATGACATGCCTCCTTTATGATTGACAGGCCAATGTAAATATAAGGAATGAATGTGGATATTGTTATTATTATGGGAAAATAAGCACTGGTTTATCATGTGACAAGACAATGACCTGACATTGTCACATGATAAACCAACGTTTGATAACAAGATCCACGATCATTCCTTAAGTAACATAATTGACCAATATCCATTGATATAGAAGAGACAGTATGAAAAACCTCATTGAAAGTTTTATACATGATAAATTCTTTCAAAATAGAAACAGGCTTGAAGAGATGAGAAACAAATGCAACGTCTGGAATCTGGTATTTCCCTTCATATTTTTCTGCAGGTTACAACACTTGGCATCCATGACCTGACGAGATTCATCTTCATATTGTGTTCTGTGGAAATGCATCATAAGTGGTCTTAATTTATGCTAACCAATTAAAAACACTATAAAAAGTGGTTAGATAATACAAATCAATGTTTAACGATGAAAATCTCACAATTCCTCATTATCATATAATTTGGCAATCTTTTATTGAACAGAACATAAGCATAAAATTGGCCAGATCATGGATGAAGTCACCCATGGAAAAACATGAAATGGAAAAGAGATTTGCATTTTAATATCAATTGGTGAAAAAAGGATTCATCAAGTTAGCTGAAACAACACCTTAACTTTGTATAGCGACTCTTTGATGTTAAAAATTCATATTATTTGCCAATAGGAAATCATCCTCTTAAAATACAACGTCATGGTAGTCTGTGTCCTTCTTTTGAGATGAAGTTAGCCAATAAGACCAGTATACTCTAACCAGGTTTAGTACAATATAAATCAACCTGTAGCTCAGCCTATCAAAACACTCTATTTCTCAACTGACTCTAGTTTCTACAAGAAAATCATTAACATTATCTGATATAAAGTTTTGACCAATGACAATTTGGTATTTTGAAACTGGTTAGAGTTTCCACCAATAAAAATATATTATTTTACAACTGTTATCACCAATACTTGAAGAATGCACACAAGCCGAGAAAATTGAACCAATTAAAACAGGGTTTCTAAAACTGGTTCATCCTCCGTTATCCTCCACTGGGATCACATGACTATCACATGTCACATTGTAAAATATACCAAATAAATAAATAACTCATTATTTATAATACGTCTGTTTCCGTCATGAATTGTGTCACACATTGTCTGTAACACATGTTAAATTTTACGACTGTTTTACACGTTTCCGAGGAGGACCGAGAGGTGGACTCTGCTGACTGGCCAATGCTCGGAAAGCGTCTGCTATGAGATGTGGATGCGTAGACACCATAGATTTCCAACCCATTGTATCCATGACATCTGTTGCATGACTGCAAAAACAAAACAAAATTTTTTTTTCTAAACTTAATAATAACATTCATTTAAATCAAAGAAATTTGGTTTTTAAAATATTGAAACATGTTATACTTTTATTACCAAGAGATAAAATTGTGTGAAATGAATTCAGATGGTGTTTGAAATGGGTATAGGTATAGCAGCCAATCAATGCTCACCACTTTGAAATTGTAGTTTGCAACTGTAATCTTGAAAACTTCAGATTACTAAGAAGCCAGATGACTGGACGACCAAGATAGCTGCATTGGAGACAGTTTTAACAAATATTAACATTTTTACCTATTAATAAAATCAACAGCATGAGTTTTAAGTTGGTCAGCACTATGTAAGTCTGCTAGCACTAAAATATCACAAACATTTTCTACAGTTAAACTTGAATATAATGCATCTTCACACATCACTTTTAATCTTTCTAATGCATACTGAAAATATAAATATTAATCATTAATCACACATAAACAGCTCAATCACTTAATGCAAAATAATGAGATAGCATGAAAGGGCATGTGATACACCCACTAGCAGATTTGTTTCAATTACAAAGAACAAGCATCACCAGCATGAACTATCTCTTCTAAAGTCACAAATTTCTTCTTGAACTGCCACTTTATCATTGTTATCAGCCAACTCTTCCAGTCTGATTAATATCAGACCGAATTTCCGTTCTGTTTTTTTTATTGGCTTATATTTTTAATTTAGCCACTTCAGTTAGTGTCTGGCCTCTTAAACATTAGTCAAAATAACCTAAGCTAATATAAAAAAAAAAGTTTTATCTAATTTTAATTAGAGTGCCAAACCATTTTAAAGAGCAATAGGTCATAACTTAAGCTAATAAGTATCCCAATATTTGCCTCAACCACACAAGAATAATGAAGATGTCTGCAACTTACTTTGTCGGCTGCTGCAAGTAATTCGTCAGCCATTTTGTCTAAGTTAGGAGCTTTGCCCGTGTAAGTAAAACGTAACATTTCTCTCATAACTTCATGATCTTGATCTGTTATTTCAACACGATTCTACAAAATATAATATATTAACTGTATATTGATAATTCATACACAGATGGGTGCACTGAATAGAGACAGGATTAACACTTGCTTATTGAGATCCAGATGGTCACCGGTTGAACAAATAAGCAAAGATGTCTAACGTATTGTGAAGGGAAGTCACCCTTTTCCAAACTACTTTTGTCGGAAAGTTGCCCCAAAAGTTCATAAATATAAAGACTATTCAGATTATATTTCTGGCATGAATGTAGAAACATAAAAGACCTACTTGCTTACTCTCCTCCATTTCATGTTCAAACATGGCTTGAAATACTGGAGATCTTGCTGAAATATCAAATAAATGTTTCAAATAATAAATTCAAGACTTTGCCTGTTACTTTACATAATATAATGATCAATCAAAAAATCACACATGAATTCAAAATAAGTCGAATATAAATACTATCTCAAATGAAAAGAAATCTTAAAATCATTTACTGTACATTAATCATAAGCTTACTAGTATTGTAGATTAATCATTAATGGACTACAGAAGAAGGGGCATCTCTCCAATTTGTTATATATTTCAAATTACTAAGTATTCAATAATTCGTGCGCTCAAGTGCATAATTTAGATCTAATGTGTCTTTACCAATTCAAGGTAAGCAGCTTATTATTTTTTTTAATCATCCTCTATACCATAGAATGTAACACTACATACCTGATAAAATGGCTTTATGTGCCTGAAATTCTTTCCCATTTACACACAATATTACATCACTAGCTAACGACCGTTCAAACAATGAGCCTAAATCATTTGATAATTTACACTCAGGAACCTTGACTGGGGTACAGTTGGATTGGCCCGATATATTGATAGTATCACCGACAACACTCACCTAAACAAAATTACCAAAATAATCATGTAGAAAATCCGAAATGGAGAACAAACTAAGTCACATAGTTACATGAAATATAATATTTTAACGTTAAAATAGTATAGCGATATAGAAATATTAAAAAAAAAAAAATGTTTTTCTTACTCAGATTTTCACGCTCTGCGATCTTCAGACAACTGACCTATTTTCAGCTTTTATCAGTTGTCTGAGGATCGCATAGTATGAAACTCAACATGTCTTTTTTAGGTTTTAATATTTCTAATTGTACAGTAACATAAGAATATGTATAAATCTATAAACTGTCTAAATCAGACAGTCAAATAAGTTACAAAAAAAAACTGGCAGTGTAGTGATATCTAAGTAAAAAAATTCCATTTTATAAGAATCATTAGGGTAACCTGGCGTACATCTTCAAATCAAGACCATATAAAATCAACATAATATAACTTCTCTGTGATTCTCTTAAATTTTGAATTCTCAAGTTCCATTCAATGATCTGAAGTTTAGATTCAGTCAAATCAGAAAGTATGAATAAGAAAATTTTAAACTAACCTCGCAGAAAATAGTGAGTTTATCATCTGGTAATAAACCATTAGCTTCATCCATTAAAAAATCACGCCGAATAAATTTTTTAAAGCCCCAATCTTTACCTTGAACGAACCGATAGGCTCGCTGGCTTTCTGCAATAAATTGAGATGATATAAAAGTCATAACACATGGAATTTAAAGTAAAAATTTATTTGATAAAATGTATTAATGAAGTTTCTGTTGCACACCAAACGGTGGTTCACTGATGAATTATCCTTTCTTCTTCGTTTTTGCCTGTGAGCTTTTAAGTTGACTTGAAAGTTGTGTTTTTGACAAAAAAATAGTAAAATAAAACTTGTTCACAGCGTCAATGTTTACTTACCCATAGCTTTTGTTTCTTCCCGTTTAGCATTTAATATTGAGAATTTGAATTTGGCTCGTACTTCTGATTTGTTACAAGATACTAATAATAAATATAAGGATAAATATTCTTTACTTTCTTCATCTAAACCTTTCGGATTTACTCGTAAACACCTAGAATGAATACAGACAGTAATAGATTATAAGAATACATCAATGATAATAAATGACTTAGGACTAGTATAATATGTAATGTAGGACTTAGGACTAGTATTTGTAATACAAGACTTGCAATACAGGACTTAGGACTAGTATATGTAATACAGGACTTAGAACTAGTATTTGTAATACAAGATTTAGGATTAGTATATGTAATACAAGTCTTAGGACTAGTATAATATGTAATACAAGTCTTAGGACTAGTATAATATGTAATACAAGACTTAGGACTAGAATATGTAATACAAGTCTTAGGACTAGTATAATATGTAATACAAGTCTTAGGACCAGTAAATGTAACACAGGACTTGTAATACAAGACTTACGACTAGTATATGCAATACTGGACTTTGGACTAGTATATGTAATACAAGACTTGGGACTAGTATATGTAATACAGGACTTGTAATACAAGACTTGGGACTAGTATATGTAATACAGGACTTGTAATACAAGACTTGGGACTAGTATATGTAATACAGGACTTGTAATACAAGACTTAGGACTAGTATATGTAATACAGGACTTGTAATACAAGACTTGGGACTAGTATATGTAATACAGGACTTGTAATACAAGACTTGGGACTAGTATATGTAATACAGGACTTGTAATACAAGACTAGTATATCTAATACAAGACTTAATAGACAATTAGACAATGCTAATTGGATAAAAAAAAAAAGAGGATTGAGCTCAAACACATTATAAAATGACTCAATCCTACAGCCTGAATTAATCACTTTATGGATATAATTTATTATATAAAAGTAACAGTACACACCTGTTGTATTTGGCATGCATAAAATCATTTTTATGTCCATTAAATTTTTTTCAATTAATGATTTTTGGCCATAAAAAAAAAAAGTGAAGAAAGTAAAAAAGGCCACACAACACATGCATCAATGAAAGTATTTAATTAAAATAGATCACCTAATGATAAGTGATTAGTTGTATAATAATAATGCTATATATTATTGTAATGGAATATCATAAAACTGGTCTTTCTCTTTTTAAATTTTGTGAAAAAAGTATGCATTCCGCAAATTCTCAGCAATTTATATGATCCTTTTGAATGTACCTTATCATTCTTATGAATTTATTTTGTGTTATTTGTTTACAAACACTTGTAGTCCCGAACAAACAGCATCTGATGTTTAAATTACCAGAATCACGCGACGATCCGGATATAGTTCCAATAAGTAATGGCTGCCAATTATTTATTACTGTGATATGTAGGTGAGCGCTATCAGAACTACCAAGGTAGATCATTTGAAGAGTATTTAGAAGAGACCAGCTGCTTCTGACAGGAGTAAGCAAGTTTAAGATCAATAGTTAGTAGAAAAAATTTTTACCATTTGAGTTTGTCATTGGCTCCAGCTGAAAATGTGGAACTTTTTAAAACTTCTCCCATTTCTTCTCGACAGAAACTAAAGTTATTTATTGTCCAAATATAGGAAAATTTTATCACTTTAACCTGGAAAATAGACCAGTGATTTGATTATAATGTCATCTCTCCACAATACCAGTAAGGCTATATTCACCGATTCATTCCCGTCTTTCCTTAAAAATGATTACATAAAATTGTAAAAAGGTTTAAAACTAATCTACTTATTGTATTAGATAAAATCTAAAACTATTATGCCCTGATTTAACCAAGAATGTAATATACGAAAGCTTCAATATGTTTATTCACACTGATGAACAGTATCAAACTGTGTCAGAAATCAAAATCTAAATACCAATCTATAGTGTCAGTAGATGGTAATGAGGGCTTACAATAAGCCAAATATAGTCAAAGTTATTTTCTTACCTGTGTACAGCACCAATTCTCAGCTATAGGACATGTCATTTCCGGGGGAGGCGGAGTCGATGTACGACACACAGCCATCCTCGAATTATCAGGGGAAGTAACTTCACGATCCAGGATGACAGGTTTCACATTCACAACATCATTGTATATTTTATACAATAGGAAACTAAAAAGTAATAAGAAAAAAATAACATCATTATTTGTTTTGCCAATGGTTCAACATTTTGTTTTTATCAATTAATTTCTGTATTGACTCTGTTGGCCAAATAATAAAAAGCGTAATATAATATACCACTATGGCCTATTAAATTTAGCATAAAATTGAAATCTTATTATCTTAGTAGATGTTTCAATACCATACAACTATAGCACTAGCTATGCCTTTCAAATTCAAAATCAAAACAAAATCTCTGTCTTAAGATTACTATATAGTCCTACGAATCATTTGGCATAGCTCTGGAATCTTGTGATTTAATTCTACGTAGAAAACAACTGTATCTAATTAACTAGGAGTGTTGACTAGTAAGTTAGTCTGACTTCGGGATAATCTAGACATGGCTAGCATATCAATTTAGAAATAAATATGCAGCAAAAGGAAAACTCTACAGCCTGGTAATAAAATGTCAATAAAATACAAGCCTATATGAAAAACCTCATCCACTGAGTAACATTCAGAGGTTATGAAAGATGCGAGTTAACCTAGTCAGGTCATCCTGGCCTGGATACAAATCAGTTCAAGTCACTTTAACACATAACTTGTCAAGTACATACATGTATTGAATTGATGTTAACTTATGTTCAAATTGCTGTAAATTATAGTTAATTCTATAAGTTCATTCTAGCAATCCATAGACATCAATGCCCAAGAGTTTCTCCTACATATTGTTTCTCCTACATATTGTTTTGTGACAAATTGATGTCCAGTCTATAATCATGTAGTTTGAGTATTACAAGTATTTATTTGATGACGAGATATCAACAATCAAAAAAATTGGTAAATGAACTTTTTTTGGGCGAACCATAACAAAGAAACATATTAATAGTGATATTTTGTTCTATCAGAGAAACATTTTAAAAAGTAAGTTGGAAGACTGAAAAGTCATATACCTTGAATATTGAACAACAGACAATGGCAGGCAATTAGTCTGTTGTAAAGAGAGACTTGAAGCAATAAAACATTTAATTTACTATCCATATACAGAAATATCTTGTTTATTTTCTATAAAAACCAGTCAATGTTCTGATTTACAAAGTAACTATGTATCTTATTGTAGTAAACAAGTTATATTTGGTCAAAACCCTTGTAAACATAATTTTGCTCTCCAATAACCAATAGATATTTCGTCACCTTAGACAGACAGCACTTTTAATTCATAGTATATTTTCAATAACATAATAGTCTAGTATTCAGTGACATAGAAAATAAAATATACAATCAAAAAATCAATAAGTCTCAATCCTGATTGAATGTGGTCCATTCTGTTGAAAAGTGAGGAGAGTGAACAAGACATGTTTCCATGAAAGAAACAGCTACATATACCTGTACATTGCTCTAGACTACATTGCCTTCTATATGATAGCTATAATTGTAATAGCAAGTAGAAAAACTCTAAATTAATCAAAGCTTCAAGTTTTTGATCAATAAAATAAACCTTTTACAAAATTTAAAAATATAACATTTTACAACTAAATTGTTTTAAACACTGGAATTTTCTACAAAGGAAAGTTTTTCTATTTTTTTTTTACTAAAGCAGATTTTGTTCAAATTCAAGAACCAAAATTTAAACAGAACCTTTAACCATGACATATTAAGGTTTCCGTTGCACTTTAAAATGAAACTATATGGTTATGTTACTTTAATTCATTGAGTAAAATTATATAAAGGATTGACACACTTTCCTTTCACCTTGACACTACAAAACACACTAATAATAGATAAGAATTTTAAAAAATCTGATTTATGTGCAAGATGCACTCATGTATCAAATGATGTAAGTTAGCCTACTTATTTTCTTAAGTATAAACTAGTGGCACCTAGTGACATAGTTTGATCTGGATAGTGATAGCCGATTAACTTGTGACATCTAGGGCTGGGTAAAATAATCAAAATGCCCCATTTATTATCGATAATATGAATACTTTTAATTACCAAACTTCTGAAGCAAATTAATGTCAAGTTAAATTAGTTGTCTTTCCTTTCAGCATATAATCTACCCACAGTAAAGACATTATACTAGTTTATATTTCCAATAGCCTACATGTGTGTACGGGTCGAATAGAAATTTCTTATAATGTACAAATGTATAATTTGGCTACATATCTATCGGATCTCATAACTCTATATATCAATTTCTTATTGTACAAGATCCTCTACATGTGTATCAGCAACAAAATATCAAACCTTGAAGATATATCATTGTTATGGTTAAAAACCTGTAAATCTGTTGACTCTTTTAAGAGTAAGTTACCTTTACCTAGTAAGAACTGTTTGAGTGTGTGTAATACTGACTACAGACTATAATACAGAAATATTTGTGTTTGTAAAGCACCATTGAATGCTCACATTAGAGCAGTATTGTCCAAGTCTAATGTCTTAATCGATGCCAAGCGTCACGATAGTCATATGAATAGATGTGTGTGGGAGACAAGCAGATTAGTAAAAGTGATATGTGACTATGATAAAACATGTGAAATTCACACACGTGAAATCGTAAAACTTTAATCATTAAATTATGACCAGAGATAGAAATATGATCGTGTTTTAGATTAAATGATGAGTTATTAGCTTTGTTTAAACAGCCTAATGAAAGTCATCCATCACATATTGAATAGATAAAAAAAATTCAATAGAGGAAACTGATACTAAATGACTCTCATTACATTGTTAAAGGGACAGTTGCACCATCTTTTTTACCAATGGTACCTAAGTCTTAGAAACAGGAATTTTTTTAGCTAAGCCAATCAGTAATAGTGTTCAAAGCTCACCATCAAAATTTGAGTCTTCAAATCCATGTGTGTCCAGATTTATTGGCGATTGAATGTTAAAAAGATGTGTTAATTAACTCTGAAAGGTGTAAAGACAATAGGATAGTGGAGAATCAGTAAACCAGCCAGTTCATACAACCCAGGAAATCATGATTAACATTTCTCAATGTACCAATTTACTATATACCGTGTGATTCTATGCTTTCTAATAATCTGTAACAATAACTTTAAAACGTGATGCCATCATTTTCAGTCATTATCAACTTACTCTACCTCACTATTTATCAAACCAGGACAAAATAATTCACTTTTGAAGTTGACATTTGTAACGCTTAAAATTGTATCACTTTGAACACTTACAAATGAGAAGTGCTAAATATGAGTCATGTGATATCAGTGAGGAATATTACCTATAAAGAACCAACTAATACACTATGCCAATAACATACTGCTAATCACAATTCATAAACAAAAAACAGGCCTTCACTGTCAACTGTCAAAAGCCATAAAATTAAAACTGGGTATAAAATGTTTATTCTATCAAGATAATACTTGAACATGAATAAGGCAAAGAAAAAATATTGAGATCATTTCATAAGGAAGGAAGTATTCATTGTCCTTGTGGGTTGAATACTGATCTAAATATAGGAATGGTGGGCTAATTTTAATGTTTATTTTGGAAATCCTCCAACTTTGACCTAAAGTCATCTAATAATGGATCTGAGAGAAAGATACATTGCTGTCTAATAATGGGTCTTATTTTCTGACACATCTTAAAGGGATATTAGTGAGTCCATTCAAAAGTAACACATTATCATGCTTTTCTACAAATCTTATTTAAACCTTCCTCTGAAAGATGATACAAGTGATATTGAGGTCTGTCAACCTGTTGAATTACCTAGCAGATAACAGCCTTAGGTGGATGATCAACCAAGGATGGAAAGAGGGCTTTAGAGGGAAAAATAACACGGATGGAAAATACTGGAAAAAATTAGATTTAATGCAGTGTGTCACTTATGAATTGCACAATGTATGTCAATTTACATCCTGTAGCTATCTTGATCAATCTAAACTAGATAAAAGTAAAAATAGGGGAAATTCAGAATGAAAATAAATGGACAGTATGTAATACAATTAACGTAACATTTGCTCAAAATATCTATAATGCTAATAGTCAGATGGAAATATACCTTAAGAATAGAGCTCAATAAGTCATGGAATAACTGTAAAGAATTTTTACATATTTGTCCTTTCAAGCTATTCAAAGTGGAGAGAAAAACACCTGCTGATGTAGTTATATGACAAATGACAAGTATCAACCAGTCTATTATTTCTACCTAGTTTCCTTCAAAGATATATAGACAAAAGAAATATTCAAGAGCAAAAGGACTAATTTGAAAGTACCGGTAGTATAATTATACTGCATCAGCATATTGTATAAATTTAATGCTAAGAAGATAACTGTAGAAAGGTAGTGACAGTCTTTTATAAAATAAAGCATCATGATTACTATTTTAAAAGTGAAAATATCTTATTATTGTAGATCCCATAATAAATCAAATCAAATTATATACTGATAGATCTGAATACCAAAATGATTCATGATTCAATATGCTTCACAAGATTTACCCAAAGATAACATTAACATGGTGATACTATAATCCACATGGACAATGGAAGATCATAAGATAAAAATTTAGTTATCAACAGTTGTTTGCTTATCGATGGTACCTTGCCATTTTTCCACTTGACAGCCAAAATGTTTCCGAACAAAAACATGTCCCTTGCAGGAGGCTTTTCTATTTCAACTCAATGGTAACCAATAATGGCTCAAGGTGGTTCAACAGAAAAGAGACTGACAGTCAACTTTTTTTCATACATGTCTCCTTCGTGACCACTAATTTCTGAACCAAATTTGTCCTGCCATATCGCAAAAATTAGTTCAAGAATTTCTGTAGGTCCATAGAAATAAAAGGTCATGATAATTAAGCCTTTACAAAAAGTCTTCTTCTAGACATGAACTTACATATGAAAATGACAAATTATAATTAAAAGTGTGAAAATTTGCATAAACTAGTACACAATCTTTTGACTTTTAATACTATACTGGAGTTTATATTACAATCCAAACAAAATATTTGTAAATTGCGAACCGAATCAGAATATAACAATAATAGCCTAATGCCCTTGCTCTAGTACCTGGATGGGCCAGTAATCATAAAATACCAGTTTAAAAGAATCTTTAGTTTAGTGACTTTAATATAATTATGCAATTATACTAAATAAGCATTAATTTTATACAAAACACAAAATTATGATTAATGTTAAGGAAGTTCCATAATACCCAACAAAAAACAGTAGGTGAGTTAGGGATAAATAGGTCAAAAAGACGTTAAACCTTAATTCTTCACCTTTTGTCCCCTTTTCCTCAAAATGAACTCGTCGTCTGCTTGATGAACCCAACACGATTTTTAAACCACAACAATTAATTGACCCGTTCCGACACGAACCATCTAATCAGCCATGGTATTCAATTCCGAATACTCTCATATGAAATCAAAGCACCTTACTCTTATCTACAAAATTCCACAACATGGTGAGAAAAAATCTCAAAATATCTGTCCACTTTTCTAATTAATTCCGACCAATTTCCTGAAGTAGTCCAAGTGCACTTTAGTTTGAGAGCGGCCGACTTCACAAATCAGACAAAAATAGAAATGAATACCTCAAATTTGGGAATTAGTTCTTCAGATTTCGTTGACGGGTTATGGAGTATCACATCTTTCAGGAAATCCAGTCAGAAAATATTAAATGTTGCCAGGTTCCTCGGAAATCCGCACTTAATTCACTCCTTTTTTCCACCAAAACCCCACTTTTTCATCGCAATGACTTCTAGACATGCGCATCGAAGAAATGTCGTGCAATCTGAAACGAGGCTAGACTCTTGAAATACTCTCCAACACAAACTATTTATAATATTTTCCCATTTCAAAGCATTTCCAGAATCACATATTGGTTTCAGTGATTGTTTGATTAAATTTCGAACCTGATGTTGAAATCTAAACCTTCGACAAAGCCTAATATGATCGAATTCCGCATTAATTTATTTTTAGAAGTAGGTTAAATAAGTAGGTCAAGAGAAAGGTGAAGGTCGAAAGTTTACCAAGTCACATGACGTATGGCGACTGATAAATAATTATTCAGGAAAATAAAGATGTCTTCAATAGAAGAACACACATCTCAGTACAAAAGTCTGTCGCACAGAAAAATCGAAGTGATCAAGAAAAACCTTGTGTCTGTTTGTGGGTAAGTGTTAAGAGTCGAGATTGTCTTATAAGACGTCACTTCGATTTTGTTTTGATCATGTTTGCCTTCATCTGTTTGTTTACATCTTTGTCAATTGTAAACAACCAGCCTTACTAAGTCAGTTAGATATTCAGATGATTAAGATAAATCAGTACAAAGTCACAGTTAGTTTATGTCTGCCTATTCCACTGACCCATAAGTGTTAAACAGGTGATAATCATAATGCAGATTGATTTAATCATTAAATTGGCATGCATTTATAATGATTGTTGCATGCATTAACACTAGACTACACTGTCTTGTTGGTCATACTATGGAAGTATTAAATTATTTGCTTAAAATGTCTGCAAGCTGATACAATTGAAACAAGGAATAAAAAACTGAATTATGTTTTACGTAGATTAAGTGTGAAAAGTTTGATAGATAAAGCATGTTTTTCAACAATAGAAGATGGTTGTGAACAACTCATTAATTTTACAGCTAACCTTGAACAAATCTTACTTCATCAAATACGACGTAAGTTTTTTAAAATTTCCCTTTTCAATGAAATGAATGACAGGGGTTAACATTCTGATCATAAAAATCTGCCATTTCTTTGGTTAAGTGACATTTACCACAAGCATAACAAGTAGGTAACAGCCATATTGTTTCATGCTCTAAGTTATTTTATATTATAATGAGGTATGGTGTACACAGGCTGGTGTTGAAATTTTATATAAAGATGGTGTAACACATTTATTCATTTATTTATATGATTAGGGGTAGAAAGATTTGACTGTTTAATTCTGCAACCAAGTTCGACTGCTGCCACTGTTATACCAATTCTCACATCTCAGACTTCAGCACTGATTTTGGAAATCCTCCTTATCGATTTGGCCAAACTTTTTACCATTTTCATTTTTTCAGCACAAAAGAATTGGTATGGTGGAGCAGAAAACCTCCATTTCTGGACATACATAAAACAAGCATGTAAAAATATTCCACAGAGCTGTATTAGTAATATTGACAGCATTGAAAACATCAAATCTATGTCAGCCAAAGTAGGTTTACTTTGAAAGCCTTTGTGTATCAAAATCCCTTGAGGCATGATTTTTTTGTTATTACTAATGTTACTGTAGTCAATCAAAATAAGTTATTTTGCAGCTTTTATGATGTGATTATATTTACCATTAATCCAAATTTTTTCCTCCAAGACCAATTTAAGGTTATTTACTTTTGTAGGGTCGAGCATTTATTCGATGTGCTTTAATGGAGAAAAGATTATCAGAATATATAAGTACAGCAGTAAAACAGACCAAACTTACAAAGTATGTAAACACTCTCTTACATAGTTAGTGCTAGATCTTAATGTTTTGTATACAATCCTCTTGTAATTTAGTTACTAGATATATTGTATATATAATTTTTGATCAGGTTTGATTTAATGGGTTGATCTTAAACAAGTGGTAAGGGGCTGCACTTAGGTATATTCCCCAGTGCCAATAGATAAATCTTGTAGCCTGACATCGATATTTTTCAAGACCAATGAAGGAAAAATCAATGCAAAAAATATTTGACTTAATACTATTAGTAATTCCTTCTTACAATGATACAATTGGGGGTTCAGTACTTTCTTAGTCACAACAAATTTCATCTATTAATGAAGGATCATCTTTTGACATATATTATTTTGTTTCAATTTCAGGAAGTATTATCTAGATGGAGCTATATTATTATCAGAAGAAGCTACCATGATATGTGGTGTGTTACTTGGTTTGAATTCAATAGATTTCAGGTAGACCATGAACATTATTTTTTTTAAATTATAGCAATTGTAATACAAAATAATAAAAATAGGTCAGTTGTCGGAAGACCAGTTAGCATGAAACTCTAAATAATAACATGATTCAAGTTTTGTTATAATATTCCTATAACGCTCTACTATTGATGTATTGACCACTATTTTAACAGTGGTATTTCTATATTGCTCTACAATTGATGAACTGAGTACTATTTTAACAGTGGAATTTCTATATCACTCTACAATTGATGTATTGACTACTATTTTAACAGTGGTATTTCTATATTGCTCTATAATTGATACATTGAGCACTATTTTACCACTGAAAATATTATTGTATTTATAATAATTAGAAAAACACAAACCAGTTGTCAAACAATAAAATATATATAAACCCTCAAGCATATTTTTAATAATGAAATTAAATCTGTTTTTTAGTTTTTGTTTAAAGGGACAGAATGTTGATTTATTTGGTCCAATGGTTATAGATTATACTCCATATCTAAAATATCAACAAAGGTAAGTTTTAAACAAAATTTCATGCTTGTACTAATAGAGGCTTCTACAAAGATACACTTTCATCTGAATTCTGGCAAAAATACTGGTTACATTGTAGATCAAAAGATTGTTTTATTTAGTTTGTAAATCAATAGGTTTTAATTAGGTCTTTTGTTAACTGATTGATTGAACCTTGTATAGATTAATAATAAGAATCTATTTATATCGCGCTGGTAATTCTAACAGTCAAGTTGCTGTTTAGCGCACATAATGATAAAAACACAAGACTCACACTCACACTCACACACACACACGCACACACACACACACACACACAATTGACTTCAATCATAAAAATATGAAGAATTTCACATCGCTGATATCATGAATAAATAGCAATTTCAGTATTGAAGGTAATTATATTGATGAAGATGAGATGAGAATGTTAAACAGTGGTGAAAATTCTAGTCATAATGTATATGAAGATAATTCTGATATAACATGGAAAGAGAAATTCAGAACATTAGAAAATAAATACAGAGGAATGTGTGAACAAAAGGTAATTTATGATAATAAATAATGATCAAATAATTGTTTTACCAGATAGTGCTCAGTCTTTCGCGTGTTTTTTTATTTTTTTTGCAAAGATCCAGATTTTATTCACTGGTAACAATGATGGAATGAGCATATAATATCATTTTATTTAAAACATAAAAATTAAACTAATCAGATAGCATTCCCTGGCAAGTGAAACTTAAAGAATGAAAGGAGCATGTATTAGTTGATTATTTGTAAAAATATTGCAGGGATATTTGGAAGAATTATTAAGAATGAGAGAAAATCAACTGGATGAATCAAATCAACAACAACAGAAATTATTTAAAACTTTACGAGCTATGGAGAAAGAAAATAAAAGAGAAAGAGACGAATTGGAACAAGTTATTTTAGAATTACAGGCACAATTGTAAATTTTAACTTTTCTTCTACAAGATGCCCTCACACCATAGTGATTACCAGATGCATATGGTTTCAATAATGAATTTCATGAGTTCCGAACACAATGCACAAATCAGTTCTATCAGAGTTGTATTTGAAACTTATGACAGCTGTTCTTATTTGCAACCATACGCAACTGGTGATCACCATGATGTGAGGGCCGCTTTATTTTGATTATTCACATTGATGTATTATTCTTTTCAATTCTTGTTGTTTCTTCAACACTTCAAAAACTACATCATGAATTCTTATTATCTAGGTCATAGTGAAACACTGTAGAAAAATATAATGTATTTAGTTTTCAAACAAAATTTTAACAAGAATTTATTTTCTAGCTATTATAAGAGATTATAATTTATTGAAGTTTTAAGTGTTAAGCCTGCTAATGGCAGTTGAGTATAGCCTATGATTCGTTCTATAGTAGAGCTACTTTTGTTTTCAGATATAACTTAAAATCAGACCACCAATATCTTCAACAACGTGTCCAAGCATTAACAACTAGTCAACAGGTAGCATTAGGACATGTGAAGGAAATACAGATGACTGATATGGCAGGGGAGAGAACTCCATTAGATAATCAACGACATTATCTGGACAGTGAACAGTGAGTTATATTTTGGCATGACTTTTGGTATGTCTCTTTGCAGTTTAATGCAGCCTTCTTTGTTAAATTGTTTAGTATGATGAAAATTATCAAAATGTTATTATAATTCATATTAATTATGAATATGACGGCATGTTGGCATATCTTAGATAACTATCTTCCATTTTTTTTGTTTACAGTCAAAGTTTAACTAGCTCTGGTGAAACAGGTCAGTCACGAAAAGTAATTCAAACACCTGATTCGCGCAGTCTGCTATCAACTGCTTCTGAATTCCCCCAGCGAGAAGATTCCCAAAGTTTGATACCCTTAACAGGCTCATTAAATTCAGTTGACATTAGGACTGGAGAACCACAACACAAACATGAAGTCCCCATTGCCCAGACTACTTCACATTCCATGATTAAGTCAGAAGATTTTGAAAAGGTAACTTTAAAAACATTCGAAGAATTAACCAATGAAAATAAGCCTACCATACAAGTCAAAGAAGATCCAGGTGAACCAGCAGAAACTGATGTTCCCCTAACAACAGGAGAAGACAACTCTATTGGGAGCATGTCACCAGTCATGGTTACCAGTTCAGAATCAGAAGAACCAGTTCATGTCACGTTGGAGGATGTATCACAAAACGATGACATAGAAAATGCTCAAGAAGACAAGGTAATGGAAACACAAGATGATGTCACAGATAAGGACCAATCAAACAACAATTTAAATCAAAGTTCTGATTCAATCTCTAGTTCAGAGGAACCTGTTCATCTTGACCCACCAAGTTTAAAGCGAAATTCTGATTCTGGTTCTTCTGATACTGCTTCTTGGGAAATGCCTCAAGATCGTGACCTTCAAGCGACCTCTGGTGATGAGCAGTCTGAAGAAAAAGATGAAGAAAAATCAGAGAAAGATGAAAATGAGGCAACGTAATATGGCTGTAAATAACTGATCAAAACTCAAATTTTATTAGAATTTATTTTTGACTTGTTTGTCACTGCTTGAGTGTTTGAAATTTTGAGTAATGAAGAAAAAATAATCTGAATGTGCTAAAATATTTAATGTGCTTAAATATTGTCAAAATCCATCAAATTAGTGTGCAATAACTATTATCAATATTGCTAAATTTGCTAAGTATCTGCTTGATCAAAATCACAATTTGGCTAAAAAAAATATCAATTATAAATCCAACATAGGTCTACCAGTAAGAATCACCCATCATTATAATATGCAGTCCATATCCATGGTTTTATAAAATACATATTTATTTTGTATATTTATTATAAATACTGCTAGTAAGCAGCAGCTTTTAACAGATTCTCTAGAATTTGTAATAAATAATCTACCAAGTTACTGAAAATCACTGATTAACAGCTGTAGGTACACACCTCTCAGGAAATGTTCATTGAAGTTTTCAAATTTAAAAACATTATATTGGGACCAAATATATATTCCTTGTTTCTTATATTTTTTATATTTCCTAAATCAATGCAATATGTATATGTACCATAGCAAAGTTTAAATTATGCAAATTGAAAAAGAAATATTTATATGTTATTTGGAGACTTTTTTCTTGGTAGGTCAACAATCTTTCTTTAAAAGTCAACATATCTCACAAAGGAAACATTTGGTAGAAAGGAATTCAGTTATAGGTATCAAATACGTTATATAAACAGTAGTTGGTAAAAATATCAATGCACATCCTAAGGACTCAAGAGTTCAAATCCTCTATTTTTATATTGTGATACGGGTAGTAGTAATTAGAGTAGTGAATAACTTCAATCAGCCAGTTGAGCAGATGATAAGACTGTAAAATCACATGTATCGACAAGTCTGAAGGAGAACAGTAAGAACAGTACAACCATAAACAGAGTTTGGTTTATCAGAACCGGTTTATAAGCTGATCCTTGGTTCAAACTCTTGGCATCGATCTTTTACCAGGGAACCCAGACTTCCTTTATTGAGAGGAATTCCTCTTATGTTTTCCTGGAAACACCTTCCAAAGCATCCTTAGATGGTAAAATCTCCTGTACCTAACATGAGAGCCTGTGACCCCCTTTGACCCTCAGCTGATATTTTCAAATTTCAATTAGTATATTTTTTTTATTCATTGTTTTGTTTATACCCATTCACACTGATGGGTGCAGTTGTTTCTAACAAGCTAATTGTTGATGTGTTGGATGTGCATTGATATCTTGGACCAACTAAACATGAATATTAATATTAAGGTATTATATATGTAATAATATTGTTCAATCTGTGATATCAATAATTGTGATGTATGATTTGATGTGTCAAAAAAAGCATTTTGTCTTAATTGAAATTGATTTTTTTTTACGCCCACATGAAATTGTCACCAAGTTTAGTATACATCAAATGAATCGCTGTACTACTAGTAGTATTGGTGATCCCATCAAAAAGTCTTCTGTGATTGGTTATTGCTGTCTGTTTTTTCTTTTTAGAATCGCCACATGAAATTGTATCGCATATTGCCGTCAACCATCTGTCTGTCTGTGCATCCACAATTGCAGCTGCATGCATCTTGATCTTCTTGACATTGCTTTTTTTGTCTCAAAACATCTTAGATTTTTTATTTTTGGAGCAAGTGCAATATACACAGTTTTCAGAAAATAAAATATATGTATTTGAAAATATTAATCAAATTTTAAAATCAATTTTGGCCGATTTTAGTGTAAAACCTTGATAAAGTTTTAATTTACAACACCATCCTCACTTTCACTATTAACAGTGGAATTGGAAACTTCTAGGTTACCATAGTGACCAGTATTAGTTGTAATGTTCATATGTAGCCACCTACAAAGCAAAGAAAAAATTCCAAAAACTAAATGAATACTATTCATATGATCAAGTGCTTTTTCAAGTCACTCAACCTTTACATGGGGGTTTATTTCTAATTTATCACAAATTTGTTGAAATTTGACAATCTGTTTGTCTATTCAAAAGGAATAACCCTAAGATTGGCATGTACCAAACGTATTAAGCAATTGTATATTTTAAAACAACAGCAAATATTGTAAATCTAGTAAAAAAAAAAAAAGTAAGCAAGTGTTCAAACGTCTAGGTAACAAATCTTACCATACAATACATCCACCAACACAAACAATTACAGCAGCCAGAATAAAACATAATCCTGGAAAAAATGGCAGTGAAGCTGGATAAACCTCATTGAACAGGAGAGTGGCAATTAAGGAGGCAATACTCTCTAATGATGCTATCAAACCAAACAAACGACCTGAAAAGAATAAATAAGAAGACAAATAGAAAAGTGGTCAAATGTCAAAACATACAATATTACGTATCGTCTTTTGATTCTGGTTACTAGACCAGACGTGTAGTTCTGATCAGGTGTAAAAAAATAGCTGGCCATTTGAATCAACGTGATTGGTTGAAAGTATACACTTTTCTGCCGCTAGCATTAGAGAGATATAAAGATATTTACCATGTTCATTTTTATCAACTAGTGAACTGACAAGAGAACGTAAACCTGCTGAAGGAAAACCCATCAACATTGACATTACAGCTCCTACAATATATAATTAAAACTATTTTAAGGAAGATTTTTATTTTTTAGTATAAACATTCGTTTATAATTTATATATACCTAAAACAACAATGAATATTATTGTTACCTTCGAAGACAGTAAAATTATAAACATACATGTACAATTAGCTGAACTACTTTTTAGATCTATTTAGTATGCTTTTTCTTAGAAGCTGTCATAAGAGTGGAATGTATCATTGAAAAATACTGTCCTTTTCATAAAATTTATCCTAATAATTTAATAGTTAAACATGGCCCAGTATTCTTAGACAGTATTGAAGTATTGAAATTTGTCCTAACAAAATATCCTTATAAGAATGCTCAATTCAATATTCAGGCTTTACTCACCAGTAAAAATAACTTCTGTTATTCTAAAACTGTAAAATATAAAACCAACAAACTTTGATATTAGACCAATAATAATGATACTTGTATCTCGTAAATGAAATCTAAATTTTAAAACTGGTAAAACTGTTAATAACATAGCTCCACGTAAAAAATTCTCTGAACCTTTAAAATAACCATATAGAGTTCTAGACCAGGATAATGGTGCTCGAGTCACATATAAAAACATCACATCATTTTCACCTGGAATCAAAGTAAACTTGATCAATTAAAATAGCATTATAGTGTTTTCAACTTTTGAACTTTAAACCAAATAGCATTACATTCGAAATAACAAGCTTTATAATACATGTTCTGTATGTGCTGTCTACTGACAAGGGAAAAATTAATTGTTCCAAGCTCTATGGGTTAAACACTATTTGCCCAAAATTGTACGAAATGGATACAAACCAAACCAGGTAGTCTACTTGGGTACAATATCTTTTTTAAAGATACCCAAATTTAGTATCATAAGACAGTATTATAAAGGAGAGATATTGGGTCCATTATTAGCTGTAGCAGAACTTAAATTGTCATCTACCAATCAAGCAATTCATTAACACAGTATAGTCTGCAATATCAGCTTTAGAGGATGTTAACTTGTCTACCAACCAACCAGGTCCTCTACAACAGTGCTCGAGTCCTTACTCTGCTCCTTCAAGCTTGAAACTCATGTAAAACTCACCTGAGGTTGCAAACTGTAGAATCAATATGACAAGAATCATCAGTCCAATATATAACTTATATTTCTCTTCCCGTTCCTTACGTACAAATTTTATCATACTGGATAATTTCTCGAAAACACGTTGGCAAAATTTTCCCTCATTTTCTTCAAATTTAATCTCAGTACCAGCAATAGATATACTGGATGGTAACCGAATTAAGACATAAAACACAGATAAAACTAATAAACCAATTATAAAACTGTATGTAAATATAAAACCTAATTTATCAATCATCAAGCCAGAGGTAAAAACGCCTAAAAATCCTGCTACAAATATCATGGACTCCACAATTGAAATACGATAAGTTTTATTCCGATATGTCGTTATGATTGTAATATAACTATAAATTGCCATCATCATAGCGATAAATCCTCCACCAAGTCCGTTTAAAATTGATCCAATCAAAAGGTAGCTTTCGGGTATGTAGAGAAATATAGAACCAATGAGGTTTGAAAGAGCTTGTAATATAGACACAGAAAGAGTTGTTAAGATAGCCTTTTTGTGATTAACATCCACTAATGGACCCAAGTAGCATAACACAGAAATGCAGGAGGGGACAGTGGTTGCAACATTGTTTAACAATATCCAATGAGATGTTTCTGTTTGCACAAAATCTTCTTCTATTTGATGTGTATGGTTGAGACCTTCAGAATCAGAAAAGTTGCTTAAGGCATCACAAAATGTTTGGTTGAAATTTCTCACACAAATTTTTCGATACAATAAAGCTTGGAATGTAGGATAGCTAATAAAAATTGCCATCATGTACATAAACATTAATGGTTCAACAGTTATGTTTTTTATGAATAATTTGAGATGCATGAAAAAGTTCTCCATTTTAATTTTTATCAATCCCAAGATCTTTTCGGTCTGGAAGCTCAAATGGTCATAGTTCGTCCTACTGGGCGTGGCACTGGCATGCCTTTTTAGGACAAGGTTTCCAAAGATTACATATTATGTAGTATTATGGGCCTCTTGAGATTGTATAACACCATAGAGTTATATATAGAAACTATAATATAAAACACTTTGTTGTAGAGTAGTAGTTTATGTGACCCGTAGACAATAAACAACAAAAGGGAGGTCATTCTCAACATCCTCAGCATCTAAGACAAGACCACAACAAATTCTCAACCGACACTCTTCAACCACCAATAATTTCTCTCAATTTTGATAACCCTAACAAGTTTGTCATACTACAGATCAAGGCAATTACGACATTATCCTAAAGCACACAAAATGTAATAAAAAAAAAACCCTTACTTAGTTCACATCTTGACCTTATAGTGGGCCTAATAGCAATAAATATATAAAAAAAATCGACTTTGGTTTGGTTTTATATTTTATTCATTAAATAAATATCACAGGCTGTGACCATAAACATCCTTTTAGTCTTGCTCAATAGATCAGTAATTTCAAAGCTTTCAGAAAAGGAAAAATACATTTAAATTTATATGGCATTGATAACTACACCAAAGTTTTCCTTGTAAAAAGTCAATTAAATAGTTAACATTAGTGTTAATAGTCTAATCTTGGATAAAAATGGCTGTGAGCCGAGTCCATAGATTCATAGTTTATGTTTTTGATTATGGAACAAAATAACAAGCAAGATAAAACAATGCTGGATCGCAAAATATCTTTGGAATAAGAGAAAAATCATCATCCATTTATGAATGTTCATAGCAAACATGACAATGACCCAGCTCCACAAAACAGGTCTATTCTGGTTAATTCATAATAAAACAAAGTTTTTGAATGAACATAATTATCATTCAAATATCATTCAACTGAATTTTGCAGATATTCTAAGTTTTGTCATTTGGTTAACTTGAGACTCTGCTAACTAAACCATCATGTTGCAACACTTGTAGAGTACTAGCACTTTTTTAAATAACATGTTTGTATAAGAGAAGATCTTTCAACTAAATATTAACTGTGGTCACCATTTAACTACCACTGTGTCACCATTTTCTATAGAATAGAATGACAATTGCCGCAATTCATTATCCATTTCTATATTAGGTCCATCCATCTGTAATTGAAATAAAAGTCAAATAATTAAACAATGGAAAGTTTTATTTTGGCTCACTAATTGGCATTTAACAGTAGTATTTCTATATCGCTCTACAATTGATGTATTGAGTACTATTTTAACAGTAGTATTTCTATATCGCTCTACAATTGATGTATTGAGAACTATTTTAACAGTGGTATTTCTGTATCGCTCTACAATTGATGAATTGAGCACTATTTTAACAGTGGTATTTCTATATTGCTCTACAATTGATGAATTGAGCACTATTTTAACAGTGGTATTTCTATATCGCTCTACAATTGATGTATTGAGTACTATTTTAACAGTGGTATTTCTATATTGCTCTCCAATTGATGTATTGAGTACTATTTTAACAGTAGTATTTCTATATTGCTCTACAATTGATGTATTGAGTACTATTTTAACAGTGGTATTTCTATATTGCTCTACAATTGATGAATTGAGCACTATTTTAACAGTGGTATTTCTATATCGCTCTACAATTGATGTATTGAGTACTATTTTAACAGTGGTATTTCTATATTGCTCTACAATTGATGTATTGAGTACTATTTTAACAGTAGTATTTCTATATCGCTCTACAATTGATGTATTGAGTACTATTTTAACAGTGGTATTTCTATATCACTCCACAATTGATGTATTGAGTACTATTTTAACAGTGGTATTTCTATATCGCTCTACAATTGATGTATTGAGCACTATTTTAACAGTAGTATTTCTATATCACTCTACAATTGATGTATTGAGCACTATTTTAACAGTGGTATTTCTATATCACTCTACAATTGATGTATTGAGCACTATTTTAACAGTAGAATTTCTATATCATTCTACAATTGATGTATTGAGTACTATTTTAACAGTGGTATTTCTATATTGCTCTACAATTGATGTATTGAGTACTATTTTAACAGTGGTATTTCTATATCACTCTACAATTGATGTATTGAGTACTATTTTAACAGTGAGTATTTTTTATCATTGTTAATATTTTAATATATGGCTCTGTAATAATGCGTTTAGCACATTCAAACAGTGAAAAAACCTCGTTAATATCGTTAAAACAATACTAATAAATTCTTATCTACTGAAAGGGATAAGAATTAGGTCACTAAGCTAGTTGTTGAAAAGGTTTCACCTAAGCAACTGTCTGCATCAGATTGACATAATGTTGTACACTAAAGTTAAACAGCTAACTTAATTTAAAAATACAGTCTCACCTTTTGACTTTTATATGATAATTGTAATGTAGATGGATCAGCTTTAAATAATCTCTGAACTAGACCTCGTACTTTAGCTACTGTCATTGTTTCTATAAATAGATATTATCATTACAGGGATAAACTCATACATTTTTTAGTTAATATGGCTTGGTTTCAATTTCCTCACATTTTAAAGAATTAGAATTATATGTCCAGTCCCTGCGCATGTTCTATAAATTCCTCTCTCAAGTCCCCAGGCTGATAGAATGATAAATTTCATTGTTTAAGACACAGATAAAGATATAAAGTAATACGTACGTGGTAATTTTTTCTCTATTATTCCTTTACTGGGATTCTGAGGACATTCTAATTTAACACCTAATATAAAGTTAAGGAATCTAAAATCAAAAGCTCGTAAATTCAGAAGGTGCTAGTACAAACATGGTTCTTTCTCTAACCCAGTTCCATTATCAATACCAGGAAACTCTTCAAAGAAATCCAAATAACAAATTCATTCAAATCATTACAAAGTCTTCCAATTGAGGGATCTGTTATGCTTTATTAAATTGATACCACCCCTTCCAACCTCTCCCCTATCTTTCCAGATAAAGGATACAGACTAGGTTATCTTTTAATTTTGTAGACTTTTGAACTAATTCACTATCTTCTGGGGCTCCCCATTCTGTAAAAATAAAAAAAATATTGATTTGCACTTACATATAAACCTTAGCAACATTTAAAAGCTACCTTCAGAGGGAAAAAAATTTAATTAGTCTTTGAGCAGTTGATGAAAAAGAAATTTTCCAAAACATAAAATGTTACAATCAACCTACTTTCAAGTATAAATTGATATCGAGGATGTTGTTTTATAAATTCATCACTTGGTTTATTTTTCTCTGAATCTTGACTTCCTCCAGAATCTCTCCATTGTTGACCATATCTCTTTAAATAATCTATCTCTGCTCCTTTCCTTTCTTCTGCTAAAATCTATAAAATATATCATATATGTAACTGAACTACTGGCGTAAATAATCGGCCCAAAATATCTCAGATTTTTTATGCTGGCAATCAGATAAGATAGCCTTCAACATGAGCACACAAATGAGTTGAAAATTCCTTGTCATCAGGGCTTGCTTACTTTACAGATATACAAAGCTAAACATACCTCTGTTCTGTTCAATAAAGTTAAAGTTGGTATTTTAGCTATCTGTAACTGTCGTACTGTTTCCATGGTTTCACTCTCAGTAATAGGATTAAATAAAAACATTAATTCTTTTAAATTTTTTAATTTACCCAACTCATTAATGGATGACCACTGAAAAATATAAAAAAGAAATTCTTTAGTCATATACTTCAGAAGATCTTTCTGCCCTTCTGTCATGTCTAGCTTCAATTGGAATAGGCAGTGACAAGAAAATCATATTGTTGCAAAATTCAAGAAAAATGCCTTCAGGTGTCAGTCTGGTCCAACCTCCAATTAAAAATTATCCCTATTGAAACATAATTTTTCACTTTCTTAACTATTACTAAGCAAAAAGATCCTGTTATAAGTAGACCAATGCTGGAGTTTTCAATATAATTATTAAATGTGGAATACTTCAATGATATAGAGTAAAGGTTGTCTATTATAGATTATTTTTTGGGAATAATAAGAAATAGTAGAAAAATCAGTAAATGAACTTCTTAAGAATAGCAATATCTATGTTGAATAGGGGAATTTAGATTCTTATAATTTATAATTTCTAAAACACTGCAACTTACATCTGATATTTTATTTCTATGAAGATAAAGAGTGTGTAGTGATGAAAATAAAGTTGTAGTCTCCCCTGGCAAACAATCAGGAAATATAACTGATTCTATATCATTCTCATTTAAACCAAGAGTACCCAACCTGAAAATATAACAAATAAATAAATTTATTCATGACAATAATCCACTTCCAGTATGCTACATACAGTATACATTAAAGGTTCCTCCACAGTTCAAAATGAAAAAATACTGCATGGTACAACATGCGTTAGCAAAATTCAATATATTTTCTAAAAGATCTGAGGAAAGATTCCAATATTCCATACAATATGGGGATAGATTTATTGCACATGTTCAACCAGGTATTGCCAGTTCAAATCAAATACTTACTTGGGTAATTGTCCTAAATGCAGTATTTCAGACCAGTGTTTCAAGTGGTTATTTTCTAAAGCTAAAAAAGTTAAATTTTGAAGAAACTGGGAAGAATCCACAAGAGAAGATAATTCATTATAACTAAAACTTAAACTGTCTAAACTTGGTAACATCTTACTACATTTTAAAATCTGAAAATGGAAAAAAAAAGTACATATTGTATTCAAATTACAAATTTCAAATGTAAATTGAAGAATACGACAAAAATGATCACGTAAGCAGTTTGGCTTCCAGCATATAGAAGGTTGCTGATCGCCAAAATCAATTATATAGTGCTAGGCATGTATAAGCGAGTGGCGAAAGCTGTTGTTAAAACTTGGCTGATATGAACTGAATATTGGAAATTGGATGTCATTTGTAAGCCATATAATACTATTATACCAATGAGGAATATAGCTTAACATATAGTGCATTTTTAGCTTTAGTTTAATATTCTCTACTGTTCATACATATTTCATCTTTTTTTTTTTAAATGTATCATAAAAGATTTCAAATAATTTTAAAACTTACATCTTTCCAAGTGTAGTACGTTTTATTAAAAGTTAAAGATTTGATGTGTGTAAAATGTGGACAAAGATCATCTACATTTTCTGGTACAGTCAACATATTCTTACTAAAAAAAAAAGACAAGAATTTTACCTTCTGGCTTCTGAACACTAGAACATAATAGGAAAATGGGTCAATTTCAGATGATTTTTCAAACATTCAAGAGTAGGATAAGAACTTATTTCAAGCAACTCTCAGCTCACTTGAAGTGTCAACATGAAAACAATATTTACCTTAGAATTAAATCTGTTAAATTTGGCAGTTGTCTGGTAATATCTCCTACATGTTTCCATGACGATACAAGATTCTGACCCAGATTCAACATTTCTATTCTGGGGGTCAAGGTCGCAATATCATCCTGTCCTGCTCCATATACAAACATTGATTTAACATCCACTTCTTTTAAATCTTCCAGTTTACTGTGGAGGAAAAAGTCACATTAAAAAGAGTTTACCTGTTAGCATAACGATATAAAGATATGTTTCTATAGCATTATGCAAAGCATAGGACAAAACAGTGCAACAATTCGACGTTTTTGACGTCACATACCACATAATAACGGTTAAGACTAATTTTCACCCTTTTAAATAAAGGTTTTATTGTTATTATTATTAACTATATAGCACTTTTTTAACAGGGAAAATATTTCATTTTTATAATGAAAGAGATAACTCAAATAAGCAGATATTACCTTTGTTTCATGTTCAGTTTCTTAGCTCCCACCATTTCTACTACTGTTGTCTTATTATTCTTATTGAGTACATAGAGTTCATTAGTCACTACACCTGCATCATCTTCTGTCTTCAGACCATATCTATCTTTAACAGCTGTCATAAACTTTATACCAAAATCAACTTTCTGTGATCGGATAAATGAACCAGACGTCTCATGCCTTAAAAATGACAATCGAATTACTTTAATCCAGTACATACGTTCACCTACAGTGTCATGTAGCCTGGTGGCGTATACTAATTGATAACTAGTTGCCAATCACAGTGCAAAAACTGAATCTGTATCAATATAATGCCTAATTTTACATCATTTAAATTTACGTTCCCACTAATCATCATTAAATGTGGCCCGACTGTTTTATGCCTCAGTTCAGTGTTTTGAGTCATTTCAGTAATAAAGTTACAGTTTAAGTTGATATAAACATAAAAATTATCTTATTTGATGCTCCTTGTCTGGGATAAAACTTGTTAAATGAAAGGCAAAGTGAGTAATAAAACTTACTTGGTAGTAAAATATTGTTTGTCATTGTGTTTTCCATCATGTTTTCCTCTGTCTGGTTCATCCCATTCTACCCCTAACCATTCCCCTAGTTAACACAAAAGCAATTCTATTTTTCAAAATTTTAGATATTCAGAAAAATTGGTCAATAAAGAGAAGAGGATTACCCAATTGCTTTGGGTTTACAAAATAATATAAGTAGTACTTGCAAAAGTTTCTTTGGCAAACAAAATTGAAAATCAAATGATATCATGCCACATGATTGACAATGGAATAAAAAGACTTAAGGGTAAATTGGCCTTTAGATACCTTTAGTTGGTGGGACTTCACCGATATATTTAATAGTAGCATAATGGTCTTCACTAACTATTCTGTCTCCAACAACCACTAAACTACCATCATCTCTTCGAATTTCTACAATAAAAATAATTATTCCTTGAAAAATCTGGAGGTAGAATTATTTAGTTAAGAAGACTTCTATTAATTTATGATTCAATTGTAGACCAAAGGTGAATTTATCCAACAGATCATTTTATTCATTCATTCATTATCTGTACGGTAATCTTAAAGAGTTTTCATTCTTTGTACTACTGAGCAAAGGATACATATGAAACAAAGAGACAGATACATTGAAAAAGTATATATTCAGCTTATATAATATAAAATATTTTTAAAAATATAAAATAGTATTATTAACAACACTACAAAATTAACCAAATTACTGAACTGCAGTACTAATCTGCAAATAATGAGAAATATATTCTAAAGATACAGATGTAAAGACTAATATGTAATGATAAAAAAGATATTAATAGATAGATATTAATAAATAGTGAATGCCTGTAAAAAATAACATGAAAAATAACAGTACAGCTATTGTTCACATTTAAATCTAACCTATGGTCTATGATTATTATAATTGCTAGCTTTTATTTGGTAGGAAATAGGACCAAAGATGGCAATGATTGTGTTTATTTCAGAGAAATCCTAAATTTATCATTTGACTAATTGAAATTGAGTTAAACTGAAACTCAAAGCTAAAGAGTAGGCATTAGAGGGTGAGGTCTGTAGTCAATGAGGCATATTACTAATAGAAGAAAAGAAGTGCAATTCCATGTTTTAATAAAAGTATACCATTCATCTTATTTCTGTAATCCCTGTACATTTCCAGTAAAGTTAAACCATATAATATTAGGGCTTTATTTTTTTTTTACTTGACAACACCATCAAAACAATCAACGACAATAATGTGTCAAACTTTTTAAGAAAAAAAATTATTTGCAACCTGAAAAAGAAAAATTCGCTAAAATATAAATTTCTCAGATTCAACTTTCAATGTGAATTTCTATTAGCTTGTAAACCCTCTATAAAACGTAAAAAACAGATAAAATATTAAAATTTCAAACATTATCAACCTGAGGACGCCATTTTGGAATGAGTCATCTAAATTTTAAGAATGTAACTTATGAATTCAATATTTAAAAATGTCTGCATATTTAGAAGATAATGAAAACATTATGACTTTGTATCTTAGTTTAATAAAAAATAAGTACAGTTGACATTTTTTCATATTACTTTAGGAATAAAGTATTTGTGTTCATGTTTTGATAATGTTCCGTGTCTTAATAAATCGAAAAACCGGTTATGTTTTTCCTTGTATCCAGCAGACATAAACTTCCGGTGCGATATGGATTAGTCAGATGAAAACAACACTTGTTGAAAAGAACGACATAAATCAATTAAAAGATAATCAGCAACTAAATCAACATGGTTGATTAGAAGATATAATTTAACGCATAATCTCCTAATTGAAGTCTGTCAATATGACTGGCGAATGCAAAAGAATGTCTCTTGTTTTTGGTACCTTTGTCATTTTCTTGTCATTCTGCATACATAGATTCTCTGAGAAGAGAACTGAAAATTTTGAATGGCAGGAACTGACAAATTGGATCAAGGACAATTCAGTTCAGGAATACAGACACCTTCTTCATAAATTAGGTAATAACAAATTATACATAAAGGCCTATAACCAGCTTGATAATTGAACAATTTCTTTCTCAAAATCATGAGATCCCCTTGCTGTATCAGAAACCACACAACAGTGGGCCTATGCAATGAAGCAAATAGGCATTAGCCAATTATTTGTCCAAGACTCAGAGTAATACATAAAGATCATTTTTCTGACTCACACAAATACATAAAGACATTCAATTTGAAATTTATTCTATTAGATATTAAAAGTGTAGAAGATTTAGCAGTTGTTGAAATAGAAACCTTGGATATAAACATTGACAAGAGATTTAAATCAGCTCTTCAGAAAGCTCGCGGTGAAATGGAACTACAATATTTATTGGATTTGTATAAAGTTTCTTCGAAATATATCATAAAGTAAGTCAAATAATCCAGGAATATATTCAATAAATTTTGGCTGTGCACACTTTATTTTTTCTTAGTTGAAAGTTTAATGTCACAACATTACAATGGATGATTTAAAAGCATGAATTTATCTTCTTTAATATTTGATTAATTAATTATTCAATTAATAAGTTGAGAGATTTTTATCTAATCTGTTTTAATTTATTTTAGAATAAGAATACAAGAAAATGTAAATAATATCAAGCAATTGTGTTCAAAACTTTCAAATGATGATTTTGATAAAAATTTGAAATCCAAGCTTCATGACCTGTGTACAGATGTCAGAAAAGGTAAAATTGGATCTGTTGAACCTGCCAAATTAAAGACATGGTTCAGTGATCAAAAGAAGTATACATTCTTTCAGTTAGGTAAGTTTGTAATTTATTTTTCCAAACAAAACAACACTTAGGACACAGACTGAAAAAAGAAAGAAATAAGACTATTTCAACCGAAGAATACAGCCCACTACATATTTCACATATTTTATCCAAAATCTATTAGACATTTAAATTTAAGATATTCCAATGAAACATTTTTAAGCTCAGAATAATTGTCACTTAAAGCTTTTTCCGCCGGATGGTGCAGAAATGTTCAAACATTTTTTCTAAAATTTAGAATATTTGGCTAAAATCACTAATATTTCCATAATTCAATTGTTTTTTGAATTTTGAAAAATAACTGGAACATAAAAATTGAATCATATATTCATTGAGATATTTGCCCTTACATCTTAATACATTGTGAATTTAATCTTTATTACTGGTACTCAAATTGATAATTGATATAAAAAGTCTATGTTCTCTTCTGGTGACCATGACCAGTGCTTTTAAAACCCAATACATACTTTCACATTATTTGCTCATATGATTTTATAATTGTGACCTCTATCTCTAATGTGCTCATTTATCTTTGATAATAATTTGAAAGGAACAAACAACCATATTTTTCAAGGCTGACGACCAAGATCCTTTAAGATTGAGAGAGTGGGTGAGGGGAGAGACGAAATATGTTATATCTATGACTATATGATGTCCAAGTTATGTTTTGTTTGTAATGTGTCAAATTCATGGAATAAACAAATAAGAAATGGTCAGTTTAATAAATAGCCTATACACCTGACATGTATAGCAGGTTTCTATGTTGAATTTTCTCAAGGAGCATGTAAACATATTAATTAACCAATTTATAAACAGTAAACAAATTCCACATTTCGGTATAAATTTCACTGGATTTTGAAGGAGACTTCAGTTTGTGTTTTGGCTCTTGCAAGGAAATTGTTTTTCTAAGGTAAGTTGCTATCTGAACTTATTCAGTTATTTTAGATTTTTTCGCACATTAAGGCTCAGTTATTAAAAATATTCTCAATATTGTCTATGTTCTGAAGTTTTACTTGCATGGTTTTAGTTTCTTCTTTAATGCTTTATGATTTTTGAATAATTTACTTTACTGGAGCTCGTCTCATGCTGATGACAAACAATTCTCATACAGACATATAAGAAATGGTGGTTAGCTTATAAAATTAGACTAGAAATATGAGCAATGAAAGAAAAGGTCAGTTGTTTTCCTAGACACAGTACAAATGTGGGACTGATTCATGAAAGCAAAGGAAGTGATATTTTTCATTTCTTTAGCAAGATTTCAGACTAATTTGCTGTGCATTAACAGTTCAAATATATCTATTCCAGTTCAGCTTGTTTCAACTATCATCAAAATGTTCAGTGTCAGATGTATTGTTGTTCTTCTGGTTTTAATTGTGGCTGTTACTATCTCTGAGGCCTGTAAGTTAAATGATTTATCAAAATTTCAATCATCTTAATCTCTAACTGCAGTTTAAAATGACAGGATATCAAATTGCTGTATTGGTTTTGCTTTTGTTCTAACAATGAAATTACAGTTAAATTACAGTTCAATTCAATTAAATCGTTTGCACTTCCTGACTCAAATTGAGATGGATTTTGTGATCACATTTTGATTTCCTTTGGTTAATACACTAGCTGAATCAATCAGATTTCTAGGAAGGATCCAGCTGTAAAGTTATATAGTTCTGATGTTTCCAACAAGCCCTTTAGATTTCAAATAATTTTGGCAGCATTTAATGACATTTAATTTAAGGTAAACCTGTTAAAAAACTTGATAACTTTATTTTCCAATTATTATACTCAAGGGCTTGAGTTATTTGCATCAATTTTTATTTTGACTCTACTTTCAGTTTATCCTGACTGGTATTTCCAATATCTGATAAACCAATATTACCTACAACTGGCTAGTCAGGGCAATATGGCAGGGGGACAGGCTGGACAGGGGGGCCAAGCTGGACAACCAGGTCAGATGCCAGGCCAACAAATTTCACCTTTAAATCCCTTTCTCGGACCCATTTATGATCCTTTAGATTTGTACAAAAAATAAAATATTATTTCTGAATTTCAAATAATCATACAGTATATCTTTCATTTTTATGAATTTCATAACCTGTTATTTTGTTGTTCTGTATTTGTATTTTCTATTTAAAAAATCATTAATTTTATAATCTATAATCATGTTTTTATGTTATATTATCATCGTTGATATGTTTTGTACTTATTGATACTTTTTTCAATAAAATGAATATTTGATATTTCTGATCTTTGATTATCCTGACCAACCATGATCTTAAACATTACCCTTATCAACCACTTGATAAGAGTTAAGTTCAATGTTTCTGATTCCAAATGAAAATTTTACTGTCACCAGAAAAAGGAAATCAAGTAAATGGAAAGTCTGTCTAGTATAGTAAGGAACAGAATTTGTAGGCTCAATGAAATTCAAATTAGAATGGAAGTCACATACATGGAAACCACATGATTAAGATGTGTATGATAATGAAAATCACATAAACAAAAGTCACATGATAATGAAAATCACATAATTTAAAGTCACATGATAATAAAAATCACATAATTAAAAGTCACATGATAATGGAAGTCACAATTGAAATTCACATGATAATGGAAATCATATAATTCGAATTAATGTGATAATGGAAGTCACATTATTGGAAGTTTATCTAGTACATTTATGTAGGGTATATGTAAATCCTATGAGATATAACAAATATATGGCTATTAATTTCTGTTATTAATCAGGCATATTGGAATATTTAACACTTCCCAAGAGTTCCTCTCTCCTTTCTCTGTATATCATATTGCCAATCTATTCCAATTTTCATGTATGAATTTTAAATGAATTCCTGTCTACATTCCAATCCCTTTTATCATCTTGAATTGTAGTTTGTGAGTGTATAAATATTAAATATAAGAATCAAAAATACATGGATATAGATTGATATACAATTTATATCCCTGTCTTTGTGAAAGAACCAAATTTTAAATATGAATATATTTTCGTTTTTTGCTTCAAATCTATAAGAATCAAATGTCAAAAGTTTTCTTATAGCAAGTTGAAATATTTAATCAAATTATTCTTTGGGTTAGAAGATAGTGTCATAATGACACATGTTGAAAATATTCAGATCAGTAGGTGCACAAATTAAGATTTTGAACAACATATAGAAGCCAGGAGCACATATAACAAAACACAAGACAATATTATTACTAATTAAAGAAGTGTGTTATATTCCATAATATTGTCTTTTGTTATGTTATAGGTGCACAAATTAGATTTTAATTATTGTGCTAATTGACTGGTAGTAATTGTTATTTTGTTCACTTAGTCTAAAAAAAACTTGAAGGGAAATTGATTGACTGACCACGTCTATATATGATATTGGTCTATAAAATATAGTCTCTACTAGTCTATATTGTTGCACTAAAAAGTGCACTAATCTTGATAGCTGCACCACCAAGCTGGCAATTTCTACAGACCATTGTGTCAAGGGATTCAAATTGTGGAATGATGAAAAATGATAAAATGAAGTAATTTTTGAATTTAAATGTTCTGTTAGACAGATAGTATGATGTGCTTGGTTAAAATCCCCCTAAAGGTACCTTAAAGGCACCCTAAAGGCAAGAAAAATTCTTGATATTCTGTGTTTATCTGTAGTCAGCCCATAGTTCACTCTTAAACTTTTTACCACAATATTTCTTTAATGATCTTTGTACACAAATTGTTCTTCAGACTTTAACTTAACAGTTACAGATTTGCTCCATAGTACTACAATAACATGCATGAATTTGACTTGTTATTGTTATTTCATAGACACTGTGTAAATTCAATAGACTATTGAGCACTTATTGAAGTAATGAATTAAGATAATATTTGTTATTCAGTTGACATGTCATTTTTATTGTGTGTCTACACTGTACAACCTTATAATGGCAAGTACAAAATAATAGATTGTATGAAGAAAAATTCACTTGATTGTTGTCATGAACTTTCGAAATATTTGTTATTCAATTTTAAGTTTCAACTCTCTACAAGTTTATATTACAATGGCAGGTATATAACATGATGGTACATGTAGCATATTATATATATGTACATATACTTTAGATACCATTGTATGCAATAAGTGCATTATTGATTTGAAAAATAAATCTATTGCATTTATTGAATAAAAACATAGTACCATTTGTGTACGGTGTGAGAACCACATTGAAACGTTGAAAGTAATAAAATTCTAGAAGTATCAATCCATCAGTCAGTTAGGTGCATTATACCAAAGTGTCATGTTTCTGTCCATGTCACTTTCGATCCATGTTGGTAATCATGGATACAATGAGACCAAAAACAAAACAAATAGAAACCACAAAAAAAATCCTGGGTCTTCCTTATGGCTCGGATTTACATAAATGTGTGTACATTGGAACAAATCCTAAATACAATTATGCTAAATGTGTTATTATGTTCAATTTTTGATATATATATATAAATTTCAAGTGGGATTATTACTTTAATTATCTTTCTGTTTATCACTGAAATCCTACATTATCTATTTTTAAATCAAATTTCACTTGAATTCCTTTTAATGATTTATTAATGAAATCTTGATGGACATTATTAGATACATTTTATTCAATTGCATTTCTTATACTCATCTGAACAAAAGGCTTTTTACAGGAAATTGAATGAGGCATATAATAGTATTAATAATATATGTTTTTAGCAGAGATAAATGATGTTTTTCTCCACTTTGACAACAAAAACAACTTGTTTAGACATGAACTTTGGGTCAAATCTAATGTTTTATTGTTAGTCAGCTGTTATACTGGATTTGTTTGTATGTTTGTTTATGTTGTTCTCTTTATTTATGTGGTTTGCTTCATTGAAGCCTGCGTATGAGTTGTGAAATCCATTTTGAAAAGATAGATGGGTTTTAGGGTAAGAGTATATTTTTTTCTGATTTTTTAATAGAAAATGTTATTTTTGTTTATTTGAGTGAGATTGAAAAATATGATATGTGTTACTGGTATAATCTATTAAGAGTTCAAATTATTAATGAGTTTTTGAGTATTAAGCAATTAATTGAGGTACGTATCATCGAATATTTTGTTCTGATTTTCATTTGTGTTTGTGAATTGGATTGAAGGCAGTTAAGAGTCTTAGAGGGATTGTAAAAAGGATTACTAAAATTTTATGTGCATCTGGTTCATAATGGCTTCTATTAGCATCATTCCTATTTCCATCAGATGTGATTGCCACTATTGTTAAGCTTCAAATATTAAAGTTATTAAAGTGGAATTGCAGGAACCACAGTTTGACTGAAAATGGGAATAGTGTTAATTGATGAAATCAGTGTCCCCAGATACACATAAAAAATTTAGAAAACGTCATTACAATCCTTTGTTAGGATTATGGATTTTGGATTGTGATGTGTTATCTATATATATAATCATCTTTATTCAGTATGTTGAAGCAATAGAATTCCACTTTTTTTACAATGCATAGTTATTAATTAGCATTCATGTCCATTACCAGTCTGTACCAGGAACATCTTCAAAATGTCACAATGAACTTGTTAGAAAATTGTGGGGTTTTTAGATTCTGGAAATGTTTTGAAGGAAATGGGAATTATAGCTAGTAGTAATTAGATTTGTGTGCATTAACTGTAGTCGTGTTGAATTTCATAAAGATATGGATAGCTTTTCTTTGAATTAGTATTGTTATAAATCGATTCAGATTAAAAGTTCATAACCTTTACAAACTGTGGTTGTTTAACGTCACCGTTAATCCAATGTGAATATTATGAAAAACAGCTTATATCAACACCTTGGATCTAGTCAGAGTTGCTAGTGATAGTTAACTTAAAACAATATTTTATTCATTTCACAGGAATGCTATCTTAAACATAAGGAGACTTATATAATCATAATTTTTTAGATCAATGGAAAGTATGTAAACATTAAAAAGGCAGTTTCTCTTGTTTAAAAGTTGATGGAATAAATGACTTGAATGGATTTGTAAATTATGAAGTAGGCTATCACTGTTTTTCCCTACCTTAGAAGGATTTTTCTTAAGAGAAATAATGCTCTTTGAAGAAGATAAATTGGTTATTTTTTAAGGATTTTAAAGAGGAGTGAATGTTGTGATACATTGTGATCAACAACAATGATAGTTTGTAGAAATACAGAGGGAAGAGGTAAATATATGATTTAAGGTTGTATATTGTATTAATTATTCATGATTCAAAATTCTATATTGTCATGATCATGATTGTTTATCATCATGATTTTAATAATTTATCAATATGATTATTTATCATGATCTTGATTGTTTATCATCATGATTTTGATAATTTATCAATATGCTTATTTATCATCATGATTTTGATTGTTTATCATCATGATTCTGATTGTTTATCATCATGATTATTTATCAATATGCTTATTTATAATCATGATCATAATTTTTATCATATTTAATATGATTATGATTATTTGATTTTATGATTATGATTTATTGTCCTGTTTTTATTTTGTCATCAAGATTATGATTACAGTTTGTCCAGGTCTTGATTATTTATGATTTATGTTAGTTCATTGTCACCATTAAGTATCATCATGATTATGATTATTTAATGTAATGAGTAATTAACGCATAGTTATTTATCATCATGATTATTTATTATTATGATTATTTATCATCATTGATTATTTATAATGATTGTATATCATTATGATCATTTACCATCATTAATTATTTATAATGATTATTTATCATCATTAATTATTTATAATGAATGTTTATCATTATGATTATTTACCATCATTAATTATTTATAATGATTATTTATCATCATTAATTATTTATAATGACTGTTTATCATTATGATCATTTACTATCATTAATTATTTATAATGATTATTTACCATCATTAATTATTTATAATGACTGTTTATCATTATGATCATTTACCATCATTAATTATTTATTATGATTATTTATCATCATTGATTATTTATAATGATTGTATATCATTATGATCATTTACCATCATTAATTATTTATAATGATTATTTATCATCATTATTTATTTATAATGATTATTTATCATTATTTATTTATAATGATTATTTATCATTATGATAAATTACTGTCATATTTATGAATCTTTGATTAAACTTTAGTCATTGAGGACTTTTTGATATAAACTTTTAAACAAGAAAGAGGGAAAAAGT